CCTGCGCACAATTCCACGGTTTCATAATTTGTTCAACTTTCGGAGATAGGGATCTTCCCTTGTTAGTTTTAAGCTACGTTAGAGGACCTGTCCAGTTGGACCAGGAAAAATATGTGCGTACTCGCGCGGAACGAATGAGGGTATGCATTTGGAAAAAGTCTGCGGCGAGAAAGCGAAAACGCGTCAAAATTGACCCGCGAAGCGCAGTCGCGTGAACCGTGAAAATAGGAGCAACTTGACGTAATACTTTATAATTATACTTACTTCGTTATCTTCTTCCGGCTATTCGCGAGTACATAGCGGCATGAAAAACTTTTCCGTCTGTTACGCCTTTTTTGCACCCCACTTTAGCTGGGGAAAATGGCTCCGTAACTTACAGGGACGCTCCTCGTTACGCTTTCCTGCTCCGTTGTGGCAAATTTGTCTTTGCCATTCAGCTACAGAAAGGGATTGAAAGTTACACGTTATTCCGAATTACAACAAAATTCGTAAAATGTCGCATACAGTTAAACATCGTTTCGTAGTTTCAAGTACCGAGTGAATGCGATCAAACGAAAAGGACGTCCTCGTCATCGACACGTTTCCTCCACGAGCCCGTAATTCGATGTTAACATTTGCAACCCTTTCGTTCCTCCATCCCGTTTCGAAATCACGGAGACATTTCCGCCCTCCGTTGGGAAAAATGTAGGCCGAGTTGCATATCGAGGGCATTGCGCCGGACAAGATCAGAATAGAAATTCGGCTCCGAACGGAAATGGCCGAAGAGCACGATCATGCACAATTTCACCAGATGCCGTGCGGCTCCCGTAACGGGATGCTGAACATTTCCACGTAGCGGTGCTGCTGGACTCCGCAACTTTTGTCAGTGGGCAGATAGCTCTTGTGTGCAAGTTCGGTTGGTCCAATGAAAAGTGAAAATTTTCGCGCCGCGCTCGCGCTCGGCCCATAAATTTCAACGAACTTTCGTCATGGACAAAGCGACGAGCTTTCCACCCACACCAACCCGCACCTGTCCGACCCGGAAACTTTCCAGCTGGGCGAAAAAGTGAGAGACCAGCCTCTGGTATTTACGCTCCGCAAAAAAATGCCCGCAAGAGGGGCGAGGAGCGAAGGAACGACGAAGGAAATATCTTTTTTTTATCATCTCTAGCAAAGAGTTTCTTTCGCGGGACGATATTTCATAATTATCACCGTTGCCACCCCCACCTCTCGCTACCCCAAGCTTTTTGTTTCTGTAATTACTGCGACGGCACGAAGTGGCTTCTCACGGTCGCTGCAATAACGTCAGCATCGTGGCTTTCGAAGCGCTGGCCTGCATCTTTGATGAGATTGGAAAAGTCCTTTTGTATGCTTCTCGCGTTATTTCGCTTTATTGAGTTGTCGCTACCGGTATTTTTATCGTTGCCATTTGTCAGGAAGTGATTGCCCATTCGTGAAAACATTTGTCATTTTTAAATCGTAAAGGTGAAATGCTTGGAATACTATAAATTTAAAGTTGGGTACTAAGTCTCTAAACAGAGTGTACATCTCGTATCTAATAGACGTTTATTATGCTCCTTGCTATCCAATTTTATAACCCTAGGACACTTACCTGCGCCAATTATCTCTCATGTTCTCATCTTTATGGTTATCGATGTCTTATACATATTCATACACCTCTACCACTCTTGGTACTTTAGAATTCAAATTTTGCCACACTCACACGTCACGCCTGTCTCGATCCACTCACCTGTTCCCTCTATTTATATCAATCCTGCTTCGTTATTTGATTATCAAGCACTGAATGCGAAAACTCGCGCGTTTACAGCAGCTATTACTATCAATTTCTTTGCTCTTTTCCTCCGCTATGCTTACCCTCGGTATAATATGAATAATTCTTGCTCGTAATGGGGCAAGTATATTGTGCTGCGATCATGATAATCTGTCAGAAACTACCCCACCTTTTGCTTAGCATTAGTATTTTATTTAAACTTTTTCATTCATGTGGCAATACTATGAATTAACGCTAAAAGTACGATAAGTGGAATCAGAAATGTACACAAGTCAAAACGCATTAGGAAGTCGTTGAAACTGTTCTTCTGTGCAGCTCTCGAAGACTTAACGAATTTGTTCTAGGTGTATTAGACGTCGTCGAATACGAAATATTTTGTAACTTAAAAGGTAACCCCACTTTTGTTAATATTTAGACCGTATGGTCGGCAACAGATAGTTAAAATTCATATTTTATACGGCAACCAAAGAAGCGTGCAGAAATGTTTCCTCCAGCTTTCAGAAATTTCCAAAGTAAGATGCAAATTTTAAGTATCATTAAGTATTCATTCGTTGTACGTGGCATGCGCTCCGTTGCAGGTAAAATAAATTATTCAGCAAAGTTTGAATAACCGTTGAATTCAGTTGAAAATTTGAATTTATTAGACTGCATGTCAGGGGAAAAAAGAACCGTCGAGAAATTTAATTAAACTGCCTGACAGACGCCCACAATTTTTCGAGGAATATAACGCTCGTCGCGAAAAATTGTCAGATCCGCGCTACGTTTTGATACGTGCAGCCAACGGGTTGCTTAATTATCTAATTGAATTTTCGTTTAAAAATTTAGCGAGCGTCTTGTTTGTTTTGAAAAAATTTAGCTACGAATACACGTGGAATATCAAACATCGCGAAATGATCTCACAATTAGCAATTATGCATCAGTTTCGACAAGTTTACCAACGTTGTTTCCATGCACACGTCGAAACAATTTCGCATCCCTATTCTTGGAGCTGATGAAAATATGTATTACTTCCGGTCCCTATGAAATTCATCGCAGGGGACTCAAGGCAGCATTCATCCACGGATGAATAATTACGCAACTATCTCGTTAAAACAATATCACAATAACATTCTCCGTGGCTGTTAAACAGTAATTTCCATTTCGCGTAATTTATTATGCAATGCTTCCTATCAGCGCGATGCATGGATTCATTTGTACAATAATCGCTGAAACTCACTTAAAATTTCAACACCTAAAATTCAAAACAATTATGGAACTTTCTCTGCCACTATCAAATTTCAAACTATAGTGTTGTGTATAAAATAGGAGAATCTGACGAGGTAATAACGCGTTATCATTTTAATCACACGACAATGAACAAATGTAGCGAGGACAAGTTCCACGATCGAGTGTTTATTCTATTAGCCTTTTTGAAATAAATAATAGCATTAACTAAATTGAAAGATTATTCTGCTTGGAAGGAAGTCTTCTTTGGCAAGCAACTCATTTCACACAGGAAATATACACTTTCCCATGACGCTGCAAAACTTTATTTCTGACACAAAGTTTGTAATATATCGTGCAGTGTGAGGAAAGTTAATGACCTCGGTGACGTGCTTTCAGGACGTTGAGTTTTTAAATGTCGAGAATTTACGAAGTGCAGCGTTAAGCAGAATAATTTGTGACCCGCTATTGCAATAATTCAAAGCCTTGGAAACTTTTCGATAAATTCCCATTCGAGAACTCCACGGATTTCCTATTATCAAAACATTTCAAATATGAAAGATGCATTTTAGAACATATTTTTTATTTACTCTGTTAAGTATTTTCACGATTATATAAATTTTTCTTAACGTATTTTTTAAACAAATATTCAAAGAAAGTATCGAATCTTTGCACGAAAGGGATCAATATTTAGGTCGGTAAACATTTCTTTCCTCGCGTTGACATCAGTTTTATTCAAGCTAATGCATTTGTCAACATTTCTAAATTTGAAGTTACGTTGCCCGTGTTCACATAAATATTTATTTTCGTTGTCAATGGTGGCGGCTCATCCAGCATTGGTTTTTATTTGGCAGTAGCTTGTGGCTGCAGGTTCGATCGCCGTAAAAACCATTACATTGTTCGTTTTATTTCTCAAATGGGGAAATCCCGAAATATTCAAATATGGTTTTCTCAAGATACCAAATTGGAAATTCCCTCGAGCGCACTCGCCGTTTCCCTGAGCGAACTAAACCACGAAAGGATTAAAATACGCGATTCGGTAGTTTCGTCTTTATAAATCCTCGAGGATACTCTTGAAATAGACGTAGGCCCGTGTTTCCCCGTCGAGTATCAGTAGCGAATTCGAGCTCACTTCTCGCCGTCCTTTCTCATCTCGCGGTTGCTGTTCCTTACCCGTGGCCCTTCCATGGAAACCGAGAAAACGAAGAAGAAAAGCTCTCGCTACACCGACAAATCGATCCCCGACAGCTTTTATTTCTCACCAACGGTCATGTGCTAAAGCGTTTAAATGGCTTCTGTTTATTATTTATTTTCGTTTTTATAATTATAAAATATAATTGGGGACACAAAATTCAGGATTTTTTTTTTATCTTTTCCATACCCTAAAGATTAAATTACATTAGTACGAGAAGAAAAAATAATTCAGGTCTGAAAGTGTTAATAAACACGCTTGGAGAGACATCATTTTGTAATTATCTAGAATAAGGATCTAACCTCCATGCGCAGAATTTTGAATAGACGAACTTTCAGCTGATGTTTGCTCGGTAGAACACACTGGTCTAAAACATACTGATCCCATCAGCGGAATATGTAATCTTGCGAATACATACACCAGTGAATTGGACTTCTTTGACGGATCGCCTACCTCCCACGTATCCACCATTCGTAGCCATTGCCACAGATTCAACTACCGAGTTATAGTCACTATACAAACTTCGGTTTGGAACATCTGGCGCAGACCTTGAAACATCGTCTTAACATAATAACTTTACGTATCAGCGTTGAGCAAAATGTAATCCGCGATGTGCAATTAATAAATAATCGTGCATGGTTACCTTTGGAAGGACTGCAAACGAATTTCGTCAGAATTCGAGGTCGATCTTGAAGCTCGAAAATCTCCTTGGTTTACTAAAATTTTTCGAAATTGCAAATGCATCGGCTGGAGGTAACGAAATCTAACAAACATTCTATTCTCAAGTGGAGTAACGAATAAGTAATTAATCGAATAAATTTTTTGCTATTTCAGAATGCTGGCAGCTCGTGATCAAGAGCGTGAACGTCCCAGAAAGGGTGAAGGTGGGAGAGGCGGATTACGTGATTCTGGACTGCGACTATGATTTCGAGAACACGCCTAGCAAGGGATTAGTCGTGAAATGGTTCTTCAACGTCAACGAAGTGGCTTACCAATGGATATACGGTAGAAATCCTTTGGCCGGCGAGCTCATGGAGAAGTACGTCGACCTGAAGTACGAAGCCAGCGACGATCCGTACACCAAGTACCGAGCCATGAAATTGAATAAGCCCGGTATCGATCTTACCGGCGACTACAGGTGCGTCATATCCACTTTCGCGGACGAGCGGTCTGCCAATGCCTCCATGGTTGTGTATTGTAAGTATACCACTATTTACGACCAACCTAACCGCTGTTGATTTACGATCCTTTATGCCGATTTATGCCCAACAGACTACCGGGCAATCATCCTTTCTAGCGAGGACGCGACGGGACGATTTTATTTTCGCATTTCGCCTCGGCCATCTTCTCCGTGACTCCTGGGATGAACCAGAACGCGTTTTCTCGCGACATCGGTTCGATTTTCATTCCTGATAGACCTTTCCGTTTGAAACCTTTACTGTCTACTCTCACGTACGAAAAATAAACGTTATCTTTTGAATTCTACTCGAACACTATGGGACTTTCAAATTTTTCTGTATTTGTTCGTAAGAAATCTGTATTTCTCCCTAAAAGTCTCTGCATTTAACCCTTGGCGTTAGGATGTCTCTTCTGCAACGGGTTAATATGCATATTTATTCGTTAATACGTTGACGAAGTTTTTATTAAAGCTACGTTCTTAACTCTTAGTGATCCACCCGCGTGCTGTCTTTTCCCATTTAGTTTGCTGACTCGCAACGCCGAATATTGGATCTCAGACTGCAATATCTACAACAATTCGGCAACGAAATATTAAGTTTAAACGGAGATTATCAACGTAATCCACGGATTAGGAATACTCCTTTAGGGGATATGAAATCGTAATTGTCGATAGTGTCGAGTCAGGGAGTACTTACGGCCCTCGTGCCTTCCGAGAATCGATTGTTCCTTCAGGAGCAGTTTGAAATGTTTCATAGAGGAATCAAGGTAGTTGTTCGCCTTCCCTCGTCGAGTCCAATATTAACTGCGACGAGCGACGAACTTTCTTTCCTTTTTGTAAATTTCACTTTCTCAAAAATTCGGACCGGATTCCTACTTTAGCAGGCGATTCGCATCATCGATTTCAATAATAGGAAGAAACATCTAGCTGGTTGGAAAATGTCTCGCTACGTTCACTTTAATTTCGATTATGCACCCCCCGCGGAGAAATATGTCCGCGTATATCGCGTGCTTTGTAACACGCGATAAGTGCGCTATATTTGTCAAGTCATGTTACATTTTTACACGTCCTACGCAAGTTTGATGTGAGGTCCCGCGATGTAGAATGATGTTGCGTGAAATAATTCTTGAAATTGCAACGCGACACGAAACAGAGGCGCCAGATTGATCGGATCGCAACGACCGCTTATTTACCTGGGCTCGAATTTTAGTCATGTTAGATGTTGAATTATTTACAACGCTTATAATTAACATCGAAGCATACACGCTTTTCTACACTAATTAGGTTGATATAATTAATGTTACGTTTGTTACACGTGAGGCAATTAGTCGATGTAATTAAGAAATAACCGAGTGCGTGGACAGGAAAGGCGAGTGTAACTGGAAATTAAACGAATCGGTTTGAAGTATTTAGTTTATTTTTCATTTTCACGGTAAATAATCTTTGATCGAAATATTTTCGGTGAACGAGCATTGATCGAATTTGTGTATCGATTACGTAACATTTTGCCGCTGATATTTACGCGAATCGCTTTTGCAACTGAATATAGAACTGAATTATGTATTTAGTCGCAATCCCGGCGTATCGTGCACGTTAATCAAATATTTTCATCGATAATTCGAAATGAAATGTAATTTAAAAACGACATTTATTAAACGCAAAATTGAGAAGAAAAATGAATAGTCAAAATGGGATTTCGCGACTGTTGACGATTAAAATTATTCGAAAACTTTATTTGCCGTTTCGCGTGTAAATTCTGTAGTAGATTTTCAGTATTAAATTTATGATCTCAAATCCATACCTCTGGATCGCAGATTATTTAGGTTCGGTTATCAAACAAACGCAAATTGCAAATTTCAATTAAATTCGCAAATTAACACTTTGGGATCAATATTACTGTTTCAAAAGTTAGTGAGGTTAGTAAAATTCATGCAGATATTCCAATAGCATTTATAATAGTGTCGTTACGATTGTCGTTAACTTTAAAAAATAGTACGTATACCCCTTGAAATTATGTTTTTGAGAAACAAGAAGTGAGGAGGTCCACCCGAAAATTGTACAAGAGATATTTAAACGATATAACGCGATAATAGCATTACGCAAAAGCCACGTCCGCGGTAATTTTATTTACAACATTTACCAACATCGCCGAAGTTAATCGATATAATATGCATTATTGATCCGTTGAAAATCCTCGTACGAAGCGAACGGTGGTGTTTCAGTGTCCATAATCTGTAAATTTTAGTACGGTTATAGTCAGTAACGAAATTATTGGACCACACTCGACCGAGTTTTCCTCCAATACGGAATAAAACGATCTCCCTAATTCGAAGCGAAACGATAACCGTGAAAGTGCCGCTTTTGACAAACATTCTCACGCAGCAAGTGGATGACTAATTATCGATGCCCGTAGGAGCGATTTATTGCTAGCGACATGCAAGAAAGCGAAACGTTCCGCAGGCTGGCCATCAAATATTTGCCAACGGAGTTGGAGCAGCGTGTATTCAAGACAGATTATTTTGACGACAAATAGACAACTCGCTGGGGAAAAAATACCGAGCGCCATGGATGTGGTCGGGTTGGTGATTTAAAATTCTAACTCGAAAAGGTTAAACATTACTCGTAGTCGTTCGACGCCTCTATTGGCTGTATACTGGATAAATTTATTGGCCAGGCCAAGGGTTGTTTGATTTTAAACGATCAACTTTTCAGTAGTCTGTTTGGTTTCCTTGAAAGTTGTTGGTCAAACGCTGCTTCCAATCTTGCTTTGAAAATTAAAACATTATAGGAGTCGAGGTTTAAACGAGATGACTTTTTATTGCCGAGCAACAAGTAGAGCGGACGCAGGATCAGGGTCGCCAGTAGTTTTATAGTTTGGAATTAACGGACCTGGATAATCATCGTTAAACATAATCTCTTGCGCATGAGTTAATAATTTTGGGTCATTCGGCGATCAGCCAACCGTAAATCATCCGATGGGATAATCGCATAAATATGTATTATTTATGAATGATTCACGGTAGAGTAAACTCTGAACGGCCCCATATTATTCCTATCGTAACTTATCTATCATTCTCTACTTTTGTTAGTTATCGCGTAGTTTCGATTATTTGTTATCCTTCTCATACAGTTTATTCCCTTTCGTTCGATAAAATATGAATTCGACGAGAGTCACAAGCGATTCCACAATTTATTTTAAGGTTAAGCTGCCTTTACCTACCTAACCTTTACTTACGAGAATGAGAAAACGCTTTAACCTTCCAACTTTAACTTTTCCTTCATGAAGTACCAGCAAAGTAACGCCCAAAGTACGAAGACAAGTTTTCGCGAAGTCGAATAGCTCATAGCGTCAAGTGTTACAAGCATTGCTGAGAAAAGACGTACGACGGAGGATATTAATCTCACGAAATTAGGTATCTCGGCTATCGTATCTTGGATGTTTGAAGTTCATCTGAAAGGAAACTTTTCATAACCAGGCAACGGTTTGTTATCCGCATTGGCGGAGGCGCAGTTTCTCTGCAACGTGGAAATGGGAGTTTGAAGGAAGTAACAGAGAATTACCGAAGACTTGTATTGTCTTAACGAAACAAGTTGAAACTATTTCAACCGAGCTTCTATTACGACGAAGGAAAACATTAAAATGCTCAAATGTTACGTCTTAAAAGTTGAACGTACACCTTCCACCGCTGATACCCCTACAAAAGAGGATTTCGAAACTTTTATCATATTACAAATTTTAGAAAAGTATTTGCTTTCTACGGAAACCAACGACAAAACTGTGTTTTTCAAAGTGAATTTTTTTATCGCTTAACAATTGTGAGATACTCTTAAATGATTGTTTTTTATCGAGGTATTTTATACAATTGTCATCCACCAAAATGTATGCAGAATTTTCAGTCTTCGATTACCAATTATAAGTACCAGTTCCTATATAATCCTTGTTTAAATTTCATAATTACTACAGAAATGTAAATGGCACGTCGAGTATAATACAAAACGGTATGAAAGATTAAATAATAAACTTAACAATGGTTCGTGCATAGCTGTGGATATTTTTGTTGTGAACAACAAAGCACGCCTTACAATTGCTATTAAATAGGCCATGAAAGCCACACTAGAAAGTTTTAATTCCAAGTTTTTACAGTTTTCTCATGCTTATCCGTCCTTCTCCTCTTCAGTTCTGCAAATTATGTCGAGAGAACCACGGCGATAATGCAGAACGAATACGAATACATGGGTTCCTTGAAAAACTGTGTAATTAGAGCTGAGTACATTGTAGTGCATGCGACTCGCGTTTCCTCGTGCCCCGAATGGATTCCTCTTTTTCCATTCTATGCGCCTGTAAGATCACAATTACGAGAGAAAACAGGTGGATCGCTGAATGTCGGGACTGTCCTCAATAATTTAATATTGCATTAAACCCAAGCGGCCTCGTTCATTTTCCTGTTCCAGCGTGCTCGCACTTTTGAATTCTCAGTCGACTCATAATATCTCCCCGTAGACAAATTCGCGTCCGATTTGATTAAATTCCGATTTCAAGTGTTTCCCGACGTAATAACCACGCCGTTCTCCCTGGGACTTTCCGTCTCCATTAACTCGTAATTAGCAATGTATTTTTACCTCTACGGAAAATTATATTTTCCTCTCAAATTGTTTACGAACCGTAGGGAGATATTATGAAAACGATTTTGAGCTGACAAACGGCATAATCTAGACGGCTTGAAACGTTTTAAAACATTTTAGATCATCATTTCATTTATGGAGTGCTTTAATCTATAAAGAATATTTTACTTGAGTCCTTCAATTCAAAGTTCAGTTTAAGCGTTCAGCTAGTTTGGTTCATAGGAAAATGGAATGCCGCACATGCGACCCAAATTCACGCGTAATTTCAATCGATGCTTCTAATTAGTGTATTTGTCGTGAAACTTCCCATATTTGCACGAAATTATGGCGACTATAGCGGCGCATTCGCAAGTACGCCCATAATTTTCCAAGTTCTCGCGGAAAGGTTTGTCTTGGGGAATAACTTTCGAATAATTTGCTGGCCCATCTGCTACTGCCGCTATGTAAACACTACCACAATATTACTTTCCTTCGAGAGTGAGTGGAAAGTTTTAAAATAATTTCAACGCAGCGTCTTTACCTAAAACTGTTTTCCTTAGTCGGAGACGTAGGCTCCGAATGCGTAAATATCTCGATATTTTCATTGGAAGATTGTATTTACCATACTCGGACCAAGCGAAACCTTTGTCGTTCTAATGTATCAATTATTTTTCACCAAAAGACTACCACTCTTCCATCGATGGAAACCGAAATACGCAACGCGAGTTTCGATTATGGAAAAATGTCTTTATAGCTTGTATTCATGTTTCGGTTTCGCTAAATACATATCAACTGGCTGAATTTCAATAAACGTTTCATGTACCTCCTCGCGTACAAATATTATACGATAAACTGATGTGTAAACAGAGGCGGTGAAACACTCGGTCCCGGTCTCTTTGGTACGATACAACATTGAACAAAGTATCCAAATTGATTACATTTCGGAGCGCAACGGAATAAATGCAAGCCTAATTGAAAGACAATTCATTCGGATTATCCGGCTACTGTATTATTCGTATTAAATGGAAATTCGGATTATCAAATTTCCGTGAATTCACTGCGAAATAAGCAACTCGAGCTGATTTAAATCAACAAATATCAAGAGATTCGATCAAACATACCGACTTATTATTTATTGACATAATGTTATCTAATTAGTAGTTCGGTAGTTTTATATTAATGAACTGTAATGTACAACGCTTGCTAATTATCGTTGTGACAGAAATCGATTTAGATCGATACGATAAAAAATAATAATCCTCATCGAAGGATCTGTTACTCCTCTTTAATAACATAATTGATACATGATAGTTTAATGTAATAATAATTCGTTGAAATGGGATTTGAACGTTGTCTCTTTACAGCAAGCATTAATGTACATAAATCTGATTAAATTACACCGAGACGTGTGAATGAATAATAAATAAAGTTATAACTGCTAAATACAGGAGAAATGTACAATTTAAACGGGTCACTGTGAATTCGTGTACATTTCAAATTCGCAGTACTTCAGAAAACTAAATATTCGTCGACCACGCGTAACGTCGATTACCGAGTCTGACCATTACTCCCTATTTCTACTTGTGTCAGCGCTTGTAAACTTACTTACCGTTTCACAATGTTACTATCTCTCAACTACAAACATGGTAGCACTGGTTCTGGCGCATATTTAGAACCAGTTAAACCCGATATTATCGTACCACCGTCGACGTTTACGAACATTAACGCAAGTAGAAATAACGAGTAATGGACGAACGCATTAACCGGTCGTTCTCCGTAGCACGCGCGCCCGCGAATTTTCGAAATCGATTTTCTCGATTTTCTCTATTGGCACATACAGGACATACTTTCCAGATATGTCTCTTATAATTAGACTAGAATACCCCTCGAATTCTCGTACGATTCTGAAACAGATCTGGTCGCTCGCTATTTTCCAAGTTGGAATTCACTTTCGAGAACGTATCATGTCCGCGAAAGAGGTTTTGGCTCGACACCTGGCTTTCTTTTTCGACGACACGAGCGTGGCCAAGGCCGGTGGGATACGATATAATTTGAACTTTTCTGTCACGGTGACACGTACGCAATTTATTTTCCCCGTCGCATTTACCATGACCCCCGCGGCGGGCTGCGGCTGTCCGGTTTCTCGTTCGCGAAAATAAAAGTTGCCGACTGCGCAATGAAACAGAGCAAGGGAACTGGCTCGAGAAACGTCCGGCATTATCGCGATAATGCAGCGTCGTCTTCCAACGGCAGCACGCGGTGTATCCGTTACCATTACCTTTTTATTTTCATTGCCGTACGTGTGGCCGCCGCGAAATATCCACTTTCAGTCCTTGTATCCCGTGTCTGGATTCGATGGACGCTCGTAAATACGTCTCCCTTTTCCGCGCTGTTAATAGCCCGAAGGAAAATTGAATGTTCGTTGCGCCGACCGGATCTGGAATCATTGGGCGATAACCTTCTCAAACGACTTTGCTGGAAATCGACCGACTGACTCTTCGGCCTCGTTTGAGGGAACAATCCGATTTCGAGTGAATTTTAAACCGGATTCTTTTCAAGAAAATAAGAACGTTTGTATTAAGCCGTTCAAAAAGTTCATGCCACTTGTCCTGTTACTCAAAATAATATGCGAAATATACTTTGAAGTGTTACAAACAAAGATAATTTCTTTTATTTTACAATATTTTCTCATTTTCTCAGCACGATCTTATGGTATTTAATAGATAAAGAAACTTCGGGAACATGTTTAACGAAAGTGCTATTCGTAAACGTATGCAAATATGTAGGAGTGCATCGTTAAATTGCTCGAGACAGTGTCCATTTTAAATTAGAATTGACCGTCGATACGAACTGTTAAAAATAAAAGACGAGCAGGTGTGCGCGAAGGATTCGATTTAAAGCTAATGGAATGTACGTGTCAGGGAGTCCCCTCGAAGGCTACGAATGTAAAAAACATTGGCTGTTACATTCGTGTACGCCTTCAGTTCCCTGTTGTCCCTCTCAAGACACTTTCGATATTATTCGGTTCGTTGGAAGAGAAACTGGATAAAGATTTGATAAAGAAAATTCGATAACAAGATTATTCGTTAGAGTTGGATCGTCGTTTATCGTTGGAGAATGTATAACCTAGTTTATTATTGAACAAAAATACACCACTCCGCTAAATGGCACATGGTTAGAGATACAGTTGCACGTGAAAGAGATCTAAATACAGATTGCAACGAAATAGAGTATTGTCTGCGGGGTATAGACTCGTGGAACGTGCGACGAATAAAATTTCACAGTTGCTTTTACAACAATAGCCTCCTAGCTCTCCCGCTTTCGACTACGTCCGAATCGAACGAACAGCCCGGAAATCATTGTCGAACATTAAGCTTTATCGCCCGTACTATGTGCACTCGAATTTATTCGCCAATTTGTCTTATGCCAATAAGCCGTCTGTGAAAAGAGAAATAAAAGCCGGAGGATTGAAATTGCGAGGGAAAAAGTGCGTAGAGGTTTATGGAAGTGAATGGACTCGTAGATTTAATTACGACGACTACAACGAAAAGCTTCCTCCTCGAAAACAACGAAAATATCCGTATTAGAAGCTATATTTCATTTTCTAACGATCCTCGTGTTCCGTTTGTTTCAGCAACGGAGGAGAAATTCGATCTTGTGTATAGAAAGAAAACCATAGATGATAAGGATGGAGTGGAGATAACGTGTAAAGCAGAAGGACTATATCCACAACCTACCCTCGATATATCCATCGAGTAAGTACTCCTGCAAGCTTTCCAACCCCTCAAGCATGCACTAGGTTAAACTACCCAATTTTCTGATATTTTCAAATCGCGATAAAGGCGAAACCTTGCTTATTTATTAAAGAATGGAATGCCGTTGCGCGATTCAATGAGACACGACAGTAGTTTGTTAAGCAAAGCACAACGAACTCTTTAAAACGCGTCGTAGTGACATTGTTTTCCTAGATACGTCACGATAAGGAAAAAAAATGAATGTTAAAAGCGTCGAGTGAAAAAGGGAACAAAAGTCGTCTGATTTTAGCATGAAAAACTTCCGTGAAACCACAGTGTTGTTATTATTTTACATATTCGTTAAGACTTTCATCTTATAGAACGAGATATCTAAAGTTAACGTTACTGAACATTTCCATCGCTTAATTTAAGCTTGCAGTCAGCCTATGTAGCCAGAAGCAACGGTTTAAAAATTATTACAAACTACTCGACTTTCTTTTCTAGGTAAACAAGCATGAAGTAATTTCATTGGGCATTTTCATTTGCAATAGAAAATCCTTCAAGGACCGAGCTTAAAATTTGCTACACAATACGACATGAATCTCCGAAATAACAGTATCATGCTAATGCCGGACATTCGGCTAATATACAAGGTGTCCCGCCAGAATCAGGACTCCGGTTTAGATCCGCGGTTAAAACAGCATAGAAGAATATGTCTAAAATTACGTTTAATGATCTTTAAATGTCGCTACTTCGTTAATTTCAAGTTTCTAGAATTTGCTTTTCATAGAAAATATTCATGCACAAGCTTGTGTGTATATACATATTAATAACGAGTAAACAGAAAGTCTCGATCAAGGTATTATTCATTTACTTTCCACTTGTATATTCGATCTAAAGATTCAGACTAATAGGGATACGAGAAATGAAAATAAAATTTATTTATACAAATGCTTGTACCGACCGAAATACCGAATAGATGAAAATATTTGTTCCCGTCGTCGGAATTGAAGGAAACAATTTGGCGAGGCGTTTCTCCTGGGACACCCCGTATCGCATGATGTTTGGTCTCTAACGCGGCCGTGATAATTTTGCAAACGTCGCTTCCATTGCAGGTCTGTTCCGGAAAAGCAAACAGCGAAGCCCACCGTTACGCTGCGTGACGATGGACTGTACGATATCTTATCACGAACGGCCTTACTGGACGAAGATTTACCGGAAGAGGCGATTGTCAAATGCTTGCTCGGTATACCGAAGGCAAACTACAACGTTTCCCACCAAACCGTCTACTATCGCGGTTAGTATAACGTATTTTAATCTATCCAATCTATCTTCGTTTCTATCTCTCGCTGTCCCCTATCTTTCTATGGGCTTCCGTTACCATTCTGCGTTCGATCTTCATCGCGACGGAGGCGAAAAAGCATTACTTGTTACGGGTAAAATATACAGTTCGCGAATTAACAACAATGCGTTAAGCATAAAGAACATGTAAAAGAGAAGCTTGGAAAGATTTGTACGAAGATCAAGCAATTTGCAAATTCTAATGGATCGAGCAGCGTGTTTGTCATGCCTGCTTTAAACGCACTCGACAAGTTTGCACGTCTTTTACGATAAATATTTGCACGATGAAGGTTGCACTTTTATGACGTAGATGCTCCATCGAGAGACCGTTAATGAATTTCCTTCGAGTTTACCAATTTCTTAGAGCGGTACCAAATGAAAACAGGAAATTCGTTTGCAGAACATTTAATCAGCTTTCGTTCGTCGATTCAACGGTAGTAGCACGTTTCCGTAATTGTATAATTTATATTGTAACAAGTAATTACATTCCTGACGAAGAAGAGAATCCCGAATATTTTTCCCGTAAACAAATTCAAAGAAGAATGAATCGATCGCGATCTATCTTTGTTTCTATACGCCTGGGAGCAGAACATTCGTAAAGTAAGTATCCGAATGTATCTCTGCAACGAAGGTAGAATACAGAAAACACGATAAATGTGAACAGCTTTGTTTTATCGAAGGATACATATGTGGCGGGTACCGTTTCCGTGAATAACATTTGTGTGGCAAGTTTTAATCTTCGAACGTGTATCAAAAATCGTTATCTTTGACCGTGCATTGGATTGCCTTGCCGTTTCATGTGTAATTTTATCTCCTGTGTGTACATGTTCCCTGTACGTATATCTATCTAAACACGAAACGTCAATAACAAATTGAACGCCGTCGACTGTTAGCAAATTCGACGCGCGATGTGCGCGCACTTGGCGGCGTTCCGTGAAACGTTTTAGTGAACGTTAACGTCAACGTTATGCTCGAAACGATATCTTCCTTCGGGGTTGGCAAATAAACAACTCCCCCCACCACGCGTAGCAATTTACGATTTTTGTTTGTTTCACGGTTCTGTTTTCCAGGGAATGCGGAGATACGGGCGCGAAAACGCTCTTCCGCGTTTCCGCTTCCGCGAGGGATATATCGCGACGCAATGGAACGGACTTCCGTCCAACGACATTCGGTTTTAACCGAATGAAAGTCTCCCGCGCGGAAAGTTATAAAGTGAAACGAAAAATAACAAAATGCAGAGCTACGACTTTCATAATGCAACAAATTGTTTGTCATTTCTCGGATATGTATGAAAATTTCCTCTGGCCCTCAAAGGGTTAAATTTCTTCGATTTTACAAAGTATTTGTGTTCGTTCCCTTCGTGGAAGCAGTGGGAAAGAAAGGGAGAAGGGAAACATTTATTGGAACGCGCGGAGGGAGCCCGCGAAGCGTCGAGGCGCAAGCTTCGATGTCTAACAATAAAATATCGCTCATAAAAAAGATGGCCACTAAATTTCATTGACATATTGATTCGATCACGGGCGACTGTAAATTCACAGCGTCGACAGAACGGTACCTTTAGCCAGAGTTTCCTCGTGCGTCTGCAGAAAGTGATGGAAAACTCGTAAACAATGGGTCGAATCTAATAATCGGCGCTCCAATGTGCGATAAATCTTACTTTTAATATCCGTATGTTCCTTTGTCAAGCGTGACGAAAAGGAGACACCGGGATTTATAGAGAAATCAACGCGTAGGTTTCGAATGCGAATGGATGTCTGTAGCATCGGTAGATAGAATTTGCTGGCGCGTTTCTCCTCGGCTAACGGAAGATTAAGGCAACATAAACCGTGGAAATCATTCTTTTCCCGCGTTCTGGGAGCACTTTCCCCGCTACTTGGAGGGCAGTATCCGGTGCTGTCTTAATCGGGGTCCAGGGTTTCAGTTCATTACACGTGTTTCATTATCCCGGTGGCGTTCCATCTCCCAAGATGACGTTCCAGCAGCGTCGGTCGAGGTTCAAAGGCCCACGCCCACGCCGAAGGGTCAAGTAGTGGGCGGCGACAGGTCTTAGCGCGTGTATCGCGTTTACTCGCAGATGGTCGGGTATTTTGCGGCGAAACTTGTAGCCACGTCCTTCCTCTAGCCTCGTTATCATCTCGGCCAAAGAAGGGGTTTTCAGCTCATCCGGTTGCAGCAGCCTGCGGTGAGACGAAGGAAGGACTAAATTACACAGGTTAAATTGCTTGTACTTCCAACCGTCACGCCCCGCCTATTATCATCCAATTTTCCCTTTGCGAACTAAATCTTCCAAGTTGGTCGGATCTGAAAAACTCGAGAGGACTTCCGGCGTCGTCTACGTCGTCCTCGTCTACGTCGTCCTCGTCTACGTCGTCGTTGCCGTTGGTGTGACGCTTTTACGAGGTAGCTCCTTCGTTAGCTCTCCGTGCCACGTGTTCCCCAATTTGCACCCGTCTGTTCGACATTCGCGCGCGTGACGAGCATCGTGATCTGTTTCGGTCACTTTCACGGGGGCTGGGTTATTATCGATACGTACCACTGAAGGGGGAGATCGAGTGGAACAGGTAGGGGAACACTCTGCCTGATGAACTAATTTGGCCCGCTTGATGCGGGTACGTGAAACTTATGGAAATTAGAGATAGAATGGAACCTTACTAAACATTGCTCCTAATTGTAGGAAATAGGAATAGAATTCTTAGCTTTCTGTAGACTTTTTAGATCCAGCTATTCCTTGAAAAATAAATGAAAAATAGTAAAAGCAAATCCAGTATTAATAATAGAATTTTTAAATTGAAAAGACGGGTACCCTAACAGGTATTTTCGTATTATTAAAATTAAGTGTACTTTTGCGGAATTTAAAAGCGCAGGAGTGGATCGAGACTCGAGCTTTTCGTACTTCTCGCGGAATAACTCTGACTCGAGACTTCTTCATTCCTCTACACGATTATCTCTCCCGGTTGTCACGAAACTAGCATAATAAAATTAAAGGACTCCAAAGTTCTCGTGGCATTATGTAGCATAATACAGCGCTCATTTACCGTTGCACCAAACCACGACAGATTAATTAAGTTGCTGAAGAAACTTTTGGAAAAAATATTTACCTTCCGTTTCGAGTTGAGACAGTTGCGAATATAAATATTTCATAAAATATTTTAACGTCATAAACGCTGAAAACTCGCGGGAATTTTTATGTTTAATTTCCCTGAAAGAATTCCTAGAAAATTGTGCGCGCAAAAACGCTATAACGTTTTTTAATAAACCCGGACACGAACATTTTCATGCAAAATATTATAAATTCTTTGGAATAAAATAGAGCTTTCGAATAGACAAACACGTCTCGCTTTGCATTTTATTTTTTCGTTTCGTTTTTGTGTTGTCGTTTATTGATTTTGTGGAGAATAGTATGAATATGTATCGTTTTGAGTGCATGCTAAATGTGAAATGCATTTATCATTTGTTTTTTCGTTTGTTTGATAATTTAGTGATTTTTTGCTCAGTTTTACCCTAACGATCCGAAAATGTCAAGGTTTCATGATCGCATCATTATCCCCGTATCATTATTATTTACATTAGTTTGCCAATAAACGTTGTATCTGTAGAGTAACATGTACACATTGGAAAAACGCTTTTTATTGATTCAGGAAGTCACTCCAGATCATTCATTTCTCTAAAAAATCTGTACGAACTTATCACCGAACCTCACGTATTATTACTCTTTCTATTTTTCACAATTCTTCTTTTTCTCACTTTTTTTCATTTTCTATTTCTTTTACATACATTTTCATTCATATCATTCCAATCTCTTATAATCAGAGTTCAGCATCAAACGAGACATTATTTTCTGTTTTTAAGAAGATTCTTGCCTAACCTTGTCCGCCGCGTATCCACGTGTTCACCTTTGCTGTAACCGTGACAAGGGATTGTTCTGGTTAGTAACGAGCTAACACCGCGATTGGCCGGTCGAGAATCTAACACTGTTACCCAGTTCTGTAGAAATATCTGTGCTTACTACTTGATGGACGCGATATGTGGTGTTTGTTGTGCAGGAACGCCTACTACTACTTCAACTGCTACAACGAAGCTGCTGCAGATAATGGAGAACCAAGCGCTAGACAACTCAGGGGCTGGCAATGGTGGTGGTAAGGCTTGTAAATTTCTCCTCGTCTATTCACAGCATCACCACCATAAGCCACCATCGTTCATGAGATTTGGAAACTTTGACAAGATCGATAGTGTTGTCTTTCTTGCGTGCAGGATTCCAATTCCCAAGCACTCCACGCTCGAATTTGCTCGTAACGCCTGAAAATCGCTTTAGAACCCTGGGACCGTCGTTTCTTAGCCGAAGAATCTGTAGGATTCGCTGACAAAGAGCGCGCAGCCGACGATACGTTTTGTCTGTCTTGATCGGCTCGGCTCGGCTCGGCTCGGCACGAACCATTCGTGGCTGAGAGAAATTCACGCGTACTGGGCGAAACGATTACACCTTTTGAAAGGAGCTCGACTTTCAAAGCTACGGGAATCCCGATTATCCCCTGGGCCCGATAACAGGGTCTATTTTTAAAATTATAGATCACTGAGCACAGAGAATTCGCGTGGTAATTATCGCGAACGTAATTATTTACGGGTTCAGATAACAATGTAAGTATACGTGTCGTTAGGTGATTGTCGACCATGTATGCGGCGACATTGGTATCTATTTATTCGAATATATACAGTTTGGATTTCTCCTAATTGTCGTTTTGTTAATATTAATAATATTGCCATCTCTCTATGACGTAAATTTGAAACCCTTAACTGGACTTTACAACGTAATCAACCTATTTAGACATCTTTAAAGTGGGATGGAGGTTGATAACCATCAAACGTAATAAACATGAACTGTTAACAGGTTGGAATAGAGGTTAATTGTACATCATTAAAACCGAAGATCATTAAGAGTAAAAATAAAAGCGCGATACCTTAGGTAGGTATTTTTTTGCCGGCCAAGAAATGCTGATAGGGAACAGCAAATTTAGAATGAACAATCGTTAAGAAAAATTCAAAGTATGTATTCAACAAATGAATACCAGTTGCCTCATACACGCTTTTATTATCGGACAATTACGGACTACTAATTAGGGAACTGGTTACGTATATCGACTTAATATTTCGGGACAGTACCTAAAATTATAGGATCTTCAGCAACGCAAAAGGAAGAAATTGTATATGCGAAGATAAAAAAGGTAATACGTTAATCTACTATAAAATTCTATTAAAAAATGTTTCTTATTAATGATAATAATAACATTAAACTTTTCAAGTTTTTAAAGTACCAATTGTTACCTTAAAGTTAGGAATTTGATGTTTGAAAATTCCTATTCTAGGAAAAATGAATTGCTACGTGGGTTACGTAAACATTCGAGACAGTACACGTGAATTTCAATTCAGTGGGAACGAGTGTTCGCTTTTAACCACGTTTTGAACGGCTTTGGTTTTAGCATTGCGTTTTCTGCACTTTTATCGCACTTTATCACCTGTTCTGAGGCACAATCGTTGTTCAATGTTCTGATAATGTTAGAATGGTTAGTCATAGGTGCAATCTTAGATACTCTACTAAGTTTCACTGCTTGCGTTTCATCTACGATAGTTTACTGTTACTCTCTATTTTCAATACGTTACGAAATTTTCACCTATCTGTCCTTTTTAGTTTATGCACAAACATTCGTCAAGAATGGAATAAAAATAGGCAAATATCCACGTGAATAATATTCCGGATTTTCAATTCTATACTTCTATACTTTTTATTTCATAACTTTTATATGATCACTGCTTCATTTGACATTTGAAAATGTCAGGTTCATTTTTTTTTTTTTTTTTTTTAAATTAGAAATCATATATTTATAGACGACGTCTGATTCAGCCTCGTAAAGGTCGTCGAACGACATTTTCGAATCCTACGCTTTTGAACACTATTAATGAGTTTGCGACGAGTCCCTAAATTAACACCCTCGTTCTGCATTGACAACTAAAATATTTATACGTTAATTATGCCAGCAAGTGGCGCTGGCAAAATAACCTTTCATTTGTGCATCGCATGCGCAGCGAACGCAACACAATTCCTAGAAGTAGTAAATAAATAAACACTGCCGCGTTCCCTCAACAAACCTTATAATGAAACAACGTTTCTTCATAAATATTCTATCAGAAGCGATGTTTGTATAAATCCACGCGTCGCAAACGAGGTACGCTGCCACAACAATGTTTCTCGTGGGAACTAAATACGAGTAATTAGCAAATGTATTATTTTTCATTAGTCCTTGAAAATGATGGAGTTAAAGAGTAGAAACACATGCCCTCGAATTTATTCAACAAATAACGTTTAACGTCGTCACCGAGTAGCAAGTGAACGAACGTTTAAGTAAAAGCTTTTTAACCTGGGAAGTTTCTAAAGTTCAATTATATACCACTCCCATCAAAGTGATTAAAGCCAGACAGATGTTTTAATAAAATTATTCACTTTATCTACGAAAACACTGGAATCCGTTTCAATCACGAATGATTAAATAATAAATACTAATAAAAAATGAAACAAAACCGCCTTGTGTAAATGAATTTCGTGAAAGAATGAAATAATTCAAAGCCTCTGCATTACATAAATATTCAGCACGAGATATTACTTCGATGTTCGTTCCGTGACATCTTTCATCGTTCCTTTTGGCAAAATTCATGTCGCCCGACGCGACGAAGCAAGTTCTCTGTAACGAAGTCCTTTAAACACGTACAGTCGAGATCCACGGTCGATATTAAGATAAACGAGTCATCTGAAATCTAGTTCGCCAATCAATTTTTCAAGATGCAATATCGCCAATGTTGCATTCTTCATTTCCTCGGCAGAAGTCTTATTTCCTCTGGTGCTTCCTCGATAAAACGAAGTCAGCGAATTTTTGTGTAATCACTGACTACTGTCGCCATTTCTTGCGCGATATTGCGTCAGAGTACACGTCGGTGCTTTTCTATAGAATCTAAAAGGAAAAGAAGCAATCGAAGTACACAATAAATATCATTCGGTTAGACGAAAAATTCTATTCCGTACACGTATTTCGAACTCAAACGAATCGAGAACTTCTCTCGGAAAAGTGAATTTTTTCTTGACGACGAAAATCTTTCGATTCGTAAATTATAATAAGAAAAACTATGTCTGAGGTATTTTATTCGAATAATTAGCAGGTCTGAGTCTCGCTAATAATTGAGCGGGTCGAAGGTTAATAAACTAGCAGCATCATAAGTTCTAGTTCAAGGAGATGAAGGGAAGCGAGAGTTCCTCTTGAAGCTCATCAGCTGGCATTACTACCCTGCGCTAATAAATAGCCGAAGTTGAGGTTGCGTTAATACCTTCCCTCTTACACACTCTTGCACGAATTTCCTCGGTGATATGCTATCAAGTACTTTGCCGATGCATATCGCCGGGAATGCGTTAAAGTTTCTGAACCGTGCGTCAAAGGGAACCGATGTGCAACTTCCTTTCCACGAAATTTGCGAGCTTCCCACCAGAAGTGAAGGGGGAGAACAAGAATTCTTAGGGAACTTTTCCTACCCAGGGATAACAGAATTCGAAAAGCCGTAGAATTGAAGAAACGCGGTTTCACCGTTCCGCGAGTCGAGAGGTAACCCGTTAAGTTACGTTCTCGTGTGTCTGACTCTGAAAGAGACAATAATGGATCCGTAATGACGCTTACAATTTTTATTTTAATATGTAAAAATGACTATTGACGAGGTAAAGGTAATCTCATTTTCAAATCCCAAATTAGTTTGCGTTCACGGATCGAGTGCAAAGAGTTAACATTATTTAACGAGAACCACGATTTCGTTATTATGATGAAAACCAGTTATATCCTTCGAATATGCTACAATTTCACTAAAAGTACAATACACCGATTTGCCTTGGCGTGTCGGTAAAATTGTATGAATGCTACTAATTTTGACACAAGTGTATTTCAATGGATGTCCTCCTATTTTGCAATTTCACAGGGTACGATGAATCTGCAAATGAAATGCACGGCAGGACAAAGAAGTTCGAAAGTTAATTTGTACTCGTTATTGAGTTAGCACAGCTGGACGATGGTTCTAACAATGTACACTAATTAGCCATGGAAGTTAGACCTCGTTTGCATCGGGTAGCAACGTCGGTGGATCATTATCATATGGATATATCCTCTAACTACACAGAATCACATGGCATTCAATTTGAACGGCCAGCTGTCTCCGTAATTATGGATGTTGCGAACTCAAATAGCTAAATATTTCAATTTCGCGTTATTTATACGCGTGACGTGTACGTTAGAAACTGATACATTCATAGGGTAAAATAGTTCGTTCAGTTATTTTCTTATGGCGACCTCTTAAATCGTTCGATTCGACATTTAGCAGACACCTCGCGATGTCTATTGTCGCACAATCTTCCCCGCGAGTTGAACCTTCCAAAGCATTCCTTGGAAAAGTTCCAGCAACGATTAGATCGGCCACCTTAGTGCTTTCGAAACGTTCTCTCTGAAAACTTGCTTCGTCAGCGATTAAATCTTCTGGTTGGCCAGTTTTTGAGTCCTCCTATAGGGTTCCACCCTCGGCAGGCGATTAAATCGGGCAATAGCGGAAAAAAGTTTCGGAATGGAAACGTTTCCCAAGGTAATGGAGGAAAGCGATAGGTAAAACAAGGAAGCTCGCAAATAAGAAAGTAATTAGCCGTAGAAGACACCGTGGGTACCGGGAGAGGAGGGTTTGGGAGGGGGTTAATTCTTATTGCTAATGGAAGCTCCTTCTGCTGACAGGGGGTGAGAGAAGAAGAGATAAATTGAAACGCCCTGGTTTGCGGGACACGGTCCCCTAATTTAAGGACATGCAGTTTACATTAGCTGGCCCTGGCTTTCGCGTAACGGGTAGTGTCACGGACAAAGTATCATAACGTTACGTCGTCGTATCGCATAAATTTTTTGGCGGGATCATAATCAGTGCTTAACGTCGACCATAAAGGAAAATGGTATCCGTGGCTATCATTTTCCCCGGCCAAGATATTTTCCTCGTGAAAATCGCCGACATGTTTATTGAGCTCTAACGCATCGATTAACCTTTACCTAACATTACGCCGAAATAATAGGCCACGCAAAAAGCATACTAATATTGATCGCGATACTAACGATAAAACCGGAAAAGGTGCATTCAGTTTTATGGAGATGAATAAAAATTGGCCTCTCTGAAAGGAATCGAGAGGGCAACGCTAATGGTACGAAATGGGGAGGGTGAAGTTTTTTTTTAGTCCAGGGGTCGACAATTTTTTAGCGCCACGTGCCACGTCGGGACATTAAGGTTTATAAAAGACGACGAAGGGTGTCGCATTCAATCACGCGGAAACAAGTTAAATTCTTTGATTTCTCGAGTTTCTGTTTGAAATAATAGTACTCGAACCCTGGAATTTTAGTCAATTTGGACGATCGTATGTGAAGGATTAAATGTTTTTAAATGTCTTGTATTACGAACATTCTATTCTTTTTATAACGTATTATCTGTTCGACAGTATTTATAGCTAAGCACTGGCACCTAGGATAATTAACAAAATTTAACAATTAAAAGGAAACCTTCGAAAATATATTTAAAGCTAGTTTTAACGACGAATTGTCAGAAATAGGAAGATATAGGACTTGCAAGCAGCATTTAATATCATTAACGTCGAAGAGAAAATCAGTACGTAAAAGCTTTCAATTCGAACTGTCGTCTTCAAATTCTTCAAATACTGCTTGCAAGACCTATTTTCCACTTTTGAGAAAATTGGTAAGCATAAAAATACCCATTGCTTTGAATAAAAGATCAAGTTTTTGATGCGCACTAATGCGAACTTTGATGTGTTTGCAGGAAACTTCTCTGGTCAAGTGTCAATTAATGTCCTCTTAGTCATGATGCATCTGGCAATTGTCAACATGTTCAATTAACCGCTTGATTACTAGGTAAGGTATCAATTATCCACTTCATCGATTAATTTGCGTCAAAACCAAACACTGTACCCTTGATCGTGCCAGTATTTTCATCAAATTCTGCACAACAATTCTGTAAAGTTACCACAAATTTAGTTTTAAGTTTCTGAGAGTTTATGCCTCTATTAAAAAGTTCAATATTAGACGAACTCTCGTCTAAATTTTATTCCAGATTAACCCACTTTTAAATTCATACGTCCATCAAAATTTTACTGTAGATTAAATCAACCTCTATGAAAAAGGAACACCTAGTGCATAAGTTCTATTAACTTTGGTACGTGTTTAATCGTAGAACGTTTGCTTCCAGGTGACCGCTCGAACATGAGTCCGAAGCAAGTGGTAGACGCGCGTTAAAAGTCAACCGTTCTCGACCTTTCGTCTTACTACGCCTAAGATCGACGAACATCGTGTCCCCTTCCCCCGGTGCACCGCCCCCCCCCCCCCCCAAACGTTAAATGTTGTTTCACAAAGCGCCAGACACAAGCATCGAAGTTCGATCAACGTTCATGTTCATCGTCTCGCAAGAGAAAGTCCTGTTTATAATTCTGTATGCATACATCGTACGCGCTGTTTAGAGTGTTATTTGTACTTGTAAACGAAATTTGTAGATTATCGCGGCCGAGATCGACGCGACTTGAACCAACAAAAAAAAAAAAAAAGGAAATAAAATAAAAGGTTTATAGGTAAACTATCGAAGCGGGGTCGGCTGGTTTTAAAACGAAAAAAAAAAAAGAAAGAAAATCGTCGAAGTGTGGCGTGTAAATAATGTTCAAGATTTGATCATACATATGTATATTAACAGTTCGAGTCATAATTGTAGACTGTGTTTGTTATACTCTTCGTGTTACGTCAGATTCATAATATATTGTTTAAACGAATAAGATGTATGGAACTTTACATACACGATACACACACCAGATATATGATATATTATATAAATATACGAGAGAAAAAGAAGATCGATCGGATACATATATATATATATATATATATATATTAACTATACGTAACTTGAATGTGTAATTATTTTAATATGTGTAAATAGCTGCGACAATATGCTGTATCGAAATGCAAACGCGCGTATGTGAAGAATATCTAGGAGCGTGGATCGCGATAACATCCTCGCTTGTTAATGAGAATTTAGAGGATTCTGCGATGAGACGACGAACTGTTCGTCTGCGTTTACTCATTGCGGACCGAGATGGATGAAATTCTTGCCTAGGCGAAAATTTCAAAATAGAAATTCGAATTACAAAATGAAATGTTTCGCGTTGAACGAATAAAAAATGAATTAGTTAATCGAACAAACGTCGCTTTGTAAATCCTGTGTTTGTGTTATTCGTCGAGTATTATTCGAATAAAATTTTGCCCATCTCTGATTGCGAAAGAAACGTGACGCTTGGAAGACAGCGTGACAGACAAAAATATCCAAACGAAAAGTGTTACACGAATCTAAAGATTGTTTCAGGACGCCTGAAACGTTACAAGTTGTAATAGCATGGCGTTTCGAAGTTAGGGGATCTCAGGGGGTTGCAAATGGAGAATCTGAACCATCGTCGCAGCGAAACCCATTGCTTCCCTAAGATCCCATGGCTCTGAAGCGACATATTGTTGCTACTGTTATATTAGCGAGGTCGATGAGTTTAATTTATTAATTAATTTATTTGGACTTCAATTCCGCTCAGGTATTTTCGTTTAAATATATATTTTAATTAATGCTATGAAACGACCAAAGAGCTAATATTCAGATCAGAGCTTCTTAAACTATGAGTCGCGTTAAAAATTCTTTGGAGTCGCAGAAAATTGTGAAAAATATAAAATATGTTTTGTATCACTTTAAGGTATCGGAGTATTATATCTGTATATAACAAATATACTTGTATAGCGATTATTATTATAAATAAGGTTAGCGTATCCGACGAGGATGACGTATTAATTCCTAAAATTGTCAGTGCAGTGCACAGGACAATTAAATTTATATTTCACGAAGCATATGAATTCGATACAATTTGGGAGTGGTGAACTAGATCGCGAGTGAAACAGGTTTAAGAAGCCCCGATTTAGCCTAAACTCGTATTAGTTTCTCTTTGGCTGTTCTGTGAGTTGTAGTACCAAAGATGATCGAATAAATACCTGAGCAATCGGAAGTTGAAACTGCGTGCACCAAAGTTCGCGCGTCTAATTAACTTAGGCCTAACATACAAGTTATTTTTTTCTACTTGCACGCTACTCGACTAATCATGTTTACGTAAGAGACTAGTCTACGAAAGGGGTGATATTTGTTTCTTGGATAAAAGGAATTCTTTTGTACATCGAAGAAATTAGCGAGAAATAAAGTAAATGTTTACGTTATCGTGTGAGTGTTAATCGATTCTTGGCATTACCGATAATCACTGTTGAATGCGCGCGTGGCAAATCTGAAAATTACTTCATACCTGGCGACTCTAAACGAGGGAGAAATTATAGTGAACGTTATAGTTGTAAATAAATTGTCCTCTGTAGCACTTCTAGTCGTTCGAACAAATGCCTATCGGATCGATGAAAGAAGAGAAAGGTGCGAAGTCTGTAATTTAAGTTCGAGTATGGCATCCGAGAATTCTGATTATGTATACCGACGCTTGTAAAAAGGATTTCGTGTTTGTAAAACTAAATACATTCTATACCAAAGAAATCTCGAAACGATTTTTCTATCACCTTTTCTCGCAACCTGTCTCCCTACTTTTTAGGATACATACATCAGCCACAGGTGAGTTTCAGGAACAGTTTCATAGACAAAGATGTAAACATCGTGAGCTTCGCACGAATCGGAGTACCGACAGTCCATGTACCGATTATTGATTTTCCTGAGACAGAGTTTGTTAGGTATACCTTGCCGACGAATTCGTTAACCGACCAACGCCACCTTCTCTCAACTCTCTCTACTTAGTTCACATTTGACCTGCAGATAAAGCCAACCGATTAACCATCAAACAGTTAACGAATCAATATACCTACTATTAAAGCTTTTCAGGACTTGCAGCGCACCTAATGGTAACAGATCCAAGTTTGTAGAGAAGCTTTACAATCTTCTCGGTGGTTATATCGATTATGCTCACGGGGTTACTATTCTGAAACCTAGAGCGCACGACTGGGAGTTTTCTAAAACTGTTGGTCTCAATTCTCGTCGCTGGTAGCGTTAGAATCTTATTCCCTCTGAATCGATAACGCTGGCTTTGACACCCTACTGATAAGAGCTTTCTTGTAACCCTCTGAGTAGTTTGATATAGCTTTCCATTGGATGGTAGCTCTATCCAAGTGATAACAATTTGATAGCAAGTCGAAAAATTTAATATGTTTTTAACTGCACATAATATCACATGCTTTGCGCTATTTAGCAATGATCGACGCGACGTTCGCTGAAATCGCACGTCAGACAGTCGATACAAACAAACGCGGAATAGATTAGACGTCAAGTTTAACGAGACACGATGGGTCCCAGAAGGTTCCGACCCAGTCCTTATCAAATTTGCGTAACGATCCTCGAAGCGAGACATTTGCCGCAAAATGCGAATCCCTTGGTGGTGGTCAAGATTGGTAACCGGAAGAGGAAAACCGTGGTTCGCGAGAGAACCGACACACCGATCTACAACGAAGTAACCTTGAAAAATGATATTATTCCAAGGAAGTTAAGTTAATGACTTTTCCTACTCTATTTTTCGCGGGTTTCAGTATTTCGTGTTTGACTTGGTCTGCAACTTGGACGAACTATTGGGTACGAAAATCATGATAGCTGTATATTTGAAAACCTCGCTTCGTTTGAAATTTCACGGAAGCACGAGCTTCGAAGTGGCTCTTGTGTGGGAGCAGCCAGGTTATTGAAATCCTTCATTTTATTAAAGTCTGCGTCTACCGACGTCAATTGTGAAAATGTAACTGAAAGTTGGTAGACGTCACTCGGTGGAATGAATACGATGTTGCAAATTTTCTGGAACAGATCGTCAATACTATCACAAGTGGGCGATGTTGACGAACCCAAAGGATATCGCTTCGGGACCCACGGGATACGTTAAGTGCAACATCGCAATTAATGTAAAAGGGGAGAAGCTGAAAGTGTATCCTGAGACTGAGGGCGAGGACGACATCGAAGGGTATTTTATACTTTATTAACTTAAAACGAAGACGTATAAAATCGAAACTTTAAAAACTCGTTTTAAAATTTCATTTTCTGAATAACGTTTACGTCTTTATGGATCAATTTCCGCATAATACATCACGTTCTATACAAATTTTAAAAACGTTCGCGTTTTAAGTTACCTAAATCCGTCAATGAATAAACCAGCTTGCGCGATTCCTCGCTGATTAATTCTATGCAATCTTATTCAACCGCCTGTGAGTTTAATAAATCCCATTAAAAACGCATTAAAACTTCCATCACGAGTCGCGTATGTAATTCGTTCTCAATCCTCCCCGATGTTCCTCTGGTTCGCCGTGGCCACAAATTTTTCACTTATTCCCTCGTAATTTCGTGGCGTAACGGTTCATCTGCATACATATTGCGCCCTCGCATACGCTGGGACGGAAAATGTCCTCCGCGTTCCAACATCCATTTTAGCGTTACACAGTGTTCCCTGTCGCGTGTCCCGGAATCGATTCTCTGGCCAATGAGAGTAGTTCCGTGTAGGACGGCCAAGAGTACTGTAGCTACATAGTTCGTCATCTCTGAGGTCCGACAACTGAAAAAATCCTTTCCCTGACACAACCGCCAGAGGCATCAAGTATGGGAAATTGAGGATTCAGTAGTGTCAATGACCTTTTCGAGGCCTTGGAATTCAAACTGTACAATATCTTTCTCTTCGTGTAGAAATTTTGTGTAATTTTATTTTACTTTTAAATCGTGCATTTCAAAGATTTAGTGAGTATCGAACATTTACAGAAACCTCTTGCTACCAGTCGGTGGGGAGTTCCTACCGTTTAGGCAACGGGCGCGCTACGTTTTTACGGTTTACCGGGCGGATGGCCTGCCAGACATGAGCAGCGTGTGCATGAAAAACGATTTTGAAAACATCAATCCGTACGTGCAGATATCGTTCGCTGGAATGAAAGTACGTTAGCCGATAAATAAAACGAAGAGAACATACGTGGCTCCCGGGGAGAATTTCCTAGCTGGCTTTTTGAGATAATTTTATAATACCAATAGTGAGAGATCAATGTCTTCTATTAATTTATATGGTGCGCAAAATAACCAGCTTCTTCTCTTGATTAAACTCTGCTTATTCGGTCTCACGAGTAATTTACTTGGCAAGTAACTTACTTAGTAAATTACGTATCCGCGAACCACCTGATATACGCGATCGCAACGTAAACAGTCCTCGCGTTGATCTAATTGAAATTACACGCGTATGCAGTTGGTAATTACTGTGAACGTTCGCAGGGTTCGACGAGCGAGGCGTGGCAGACTTACGGGCCGAGATTTAACGAGAAAATTACGTTCAAGGAAATGTTTCCATCGCTATCCCAACGCGTCCGGATCGCCATAAAGCATCGTATCAACAGCTGTCGAACGTGCGTCGTGGCTTCTTACATCCTCGATATGAGCAGGATATCAAACTCTGGAGAGTACGGTTAGCTATAAAGTATGCCGTCGAATGCTATAACATTACCGTTATTATTCGCAGTGCAAAAACCAAGAAGATTATATATTTTTAATTCAATTGTACGTTGGAATATGTTTTGTATAGCTCGTGTATGGTATATTTAAATCGAAAGCCAGGGTATAACATTTTCCTCGTTATTTGTCGATGCGCGGAGGAAAGTTGTCGAACAACGCAAACACGAAAAATTAGTGGAAAAACAGCGACGAAACGGGAGCAGCCGATGAAAGAGACGGAAAAATAAAAAGAACGAACCGCGATTTAAACGAAACTCAAATAACCAGCTGCAAACGAAACGTTGATTAACCGTTTCTGTTCTGTTTGTATTTGAAATTTTATCGTTCTCAGACGAATAACTCTGCCACGGTTTGAGCGAGTAACGTCGCTTCGACCTAATAGAGTGTGAGTCGCGCTTTTTATTTTTCTAGTCACGTGGAAGCACAGCTAGCTAGACTATAATCCTATCAAAATTTTTTTAACTTCTTGATAACCTTGACAAGTCAGGCTACTTGATAAAATACCAACATTTTATAAATAAGGTATCATTACTTAACGATAATCTCCGAGGAAGAAATTGCCCTTGTGACGTGACAAGAAACGATAAAGAGTCATTCGAGACGGACATTCGTCTCTCTCGAGAGAAGCTGCGAAATATAAAGTATTCTGACGTATTGCCTTGTCAACTTTATAAGGTTTCCTGCCGACATTCGGGCCCTCGTTCCTTCACTTTTATGGCTGCAGCTTCTCGGAGAGGAACAGCTGTTTCGGCAAGTGCTCGTCGGCCCTTCCCTTATATCGCGGGCGAGTCCTTCTCTCCCTAAAAACGGAAATGGATGACCCAGAAGCGCCGTCCGGAATCGGCGCCGAAACGGAGCACACTGCTCCTATCATCGAGGTATATCTATTGCTTTTCTTTTCCAACGGAATTCCCTATATCGACTTCCTGTGTTATTGGGTCGTTCCACAAAGATTCGGCGTTCTTTTGCTAAAGCAAATTTGTCTTTGTCTGTCGCGGTGGATAAAATTGAGAATAAAATGGTTCGCAAGAGCAGGAAATTACTTTTGGGTTTTGGTAATATTTTTTTTATCATTCTCGGGGTACAGAGTGACCAGATACAGTGGAGTTTTCATTCATCGTATCTTTTACTTTCATTGTCTTTCGCTTGTGGCTCGATATGACACTGCGTGGATCGGCGAGTAGTAACGGATCGTTTATGGTCAGACGCGCTCCCGTACACGATATTGTTTCCTCTCAACAAGCGCAGATCTAAATCTCGATAAAAATGTACCATGAAACATTAATAACTAATAAAGATTGGTGTCCAATGTGAACTCATGGCTGTGGGGTTAATGTGAAAAATTTAATGTCGAGCTGACGCAGCATTTTTACTGTCAGTGGGTAGTTAATACAAAGTGATAACAAAGCAGTTTAAGACAGTGTTTCTCGAGGTAGAAAAATGCAGATAGTAATGAAAATTACTAAGAAATTGACTCGAGCATTCTTTCTTCGAAAGGAACGTCTATGGTCAACGGAAGAATACTACCTGGTCACGGTGCTTTACGATGTGAGCTTGATCGATCGACGAAAATTTTGGACGAAATCGATAAGTTTCGAGGTTAGCATCGGGAACGCCGGCAACAGACAATTCCCGCACAGTCAGTGCTTCGAGGACAGCATCCACGGTATTGGATTCTCGTAATACTTTCTTCGACCCATTGACCCACGCCATTTATTAATTTTTCGAGAGTGTTGTCATCTTATACCATTAGACGATTACATTCTGGCCGTTTACTCCGATTTCTAGGAAATAAAAATAAAAAAGATTTGGGAAAGTATAGACGAAAAATTATCGCTGCATTATTTAATATACTAGAATAGAACGCTAGGGATACCCGGCTACTCCGGTTATCAAGCAAGCGTGATCTGTTTGGTTATTAACGTTAAGGTTAAAAGAAATAAGAAACGGAAAATATGAAATTCGAATTCGTGTTGACGGTTCATTTGACGAAAGACGACTTTAATCGTCCTAAGTAGCGAAATAGTTAATACACTCGGGAGCTCAAAGCGGACGCTACCCTTGAAATCTGATTAATTTTCAACAGGAAACCGGATGCTTGAGCGCAGGCCGGAATTCGAGAGCGGTACCACGCCGCGGCTGACCGGATCGCTGGATGGCAAATACAATTATCTGCCACTTGGCTCGAGAAAACCGTGCTTGCACGTCAAGTCCTGGTGGCCGAACCTCGAGTGGAGGATGCACAATAGCAACAGTCTGACTTTCATGGCTGAATTCCTCGTGAGCACTTATTATTCCATTACTCATCGATGCGCTGTTTTCTTTACACTTAGCTGGGCAGAAATTCTTAATGAACATCCAAACAATGAACGTCCAAGACTTAAGATTGTAGATAGCTCGTTTGAGATAATCATTTTTATGCCTCAAAGCGATAAAAATAGTTGATCCGAGTTTGCGCTCAATTATCGAAGAGGAGTAATTGTTTACTCCTGTCTCTCTTCAATTTCCACTCCAACTTCATGGAAACTCGTAACTACCTGACAATTACAGACTAAAAGTCTCGCAAAGGAGGTTCGTGAAATTTTAATAAGAAACTTAGAGGGTGTAAGTCCCCAGTCGCTGAAAATTCAACAACATCGCCACTTTAAAATTGGAAAACGTCGTTAAGATTGCTGCTTGTCCAGCAAACTTCCAGTCGGTGTCAAAGAAATGTTTCATACGTCCTCGAATATCATCGGTGTACGAGAAACGAGAGAAAGTTTGCTTCCAAATTGAAGCGACCTGCTCTGAAACAATTTTAATTCGCGACAGGAGCAGAAGTTGGAACAACTGGAGGGTCTGATGGCGTTGGAGGACGCGAAGGCTTACAAGCTGTACAACGAAACGATCCGTGAGCTTAAGAGCTACTGCATCCATTATTTGCATGTGCTGGACGCTGGCAGATACGACGAAGAAGGAGGCACTACAAAGCTCGATCGACATCGTGTAAACCTGTGCAGGGATGAGATCGAGGACATCCTGAAAATGATCAAGATCAACGGGGAGCTTGTCAACAATCGGTACATGAGGATCGCCATGACACACGCGTACAAGTATCTCGGCAGGATGAAAAAGCTGAAGGAAGACGTGAGTCCAGTTTTCATGATTTCAGCCAAAGTCTTTTTATAATTTGCGAAAGTATCGAAACAGATAAATTTAGACAGAAATTAAAAGCCCAACTCTGTCACCGAGATACTTACAATGAAAGATAAAGCTCAGCAGCAAACTCTGAAAGACTTTCAAAGCCCTCGTTTCTCTTGGTAAATTTTCGCAGAACATTTACCGAGTGAAGCATATTTAATTTCGAAAAGCTGTGTTCCGAGTCTCATCCAAGATCGTCCTGGGAAGGTAGAAAAGCCCTTAAATTGTGCAAACTTCCCTCGTTTCCTTTCCTCCCGAGTGTGTCTAAGAACGTGATTTACGAGATGAAAAGGGGAACGAAGTCGAAGGAGTTTCTACCTTTTCTTGCACTTCGGAAAAATTTTCCAAATGGGAATCGGAAAAGAGTGCGTCGCGGCGAAGGTTTCTCGGAAATTACAAATTCCATGAAAGGGAACTGGTTGCCATTATCGTTTTTTAACACGTTGGCCCATTTCTCGGTGACGCGGCGATCAACGTGTTAAATACGACGAATGAGAATCCCTAAGAGGGAATAGTGTTTGCAATAATAATAAAGTACTCGTTGGGACTACACCACTATACTTTAACAAGGATCAAATATTCGACCACGAGCATTTTTTATTGCCTCGACGGAAGCTCGTCCCAAGGGAGGGCGCGCGTTTATTACGAATTTACCAGCCGCAGCATGGTCTCCCGGACGTTTTCATTTGGATGATAGCCGGTTCGAAGCGCGTGGCATGCACGCGATTGCTGGCAGAAGAAATAATTTATTCCGAGGAGGAGACAGAGCGAGGCAGAAAGTGCGGTCAAAAGGTGGACGTCTTCATGAGGCATCCGCGGGACGACAACGAAGCTGATTACGCTGCCTGCAAGCTGGAGCTTTTCCTGTGGCTTGGGAACGCTGAGTACGTTGGTGCGTGTTGGTCCTCCATACCTCCTGGATACCAGGTGGACCATGAAAGAAGCGTCGACGTGTTCCCGAAATACCTGGAGTACACTCGGTCCACGGTATTACGTGAATCTCTCAATTGAATTTTTGGAGCAAGGTCAGCTTCCGCTACTCTTGCTTCTTGACGGTACGGTTTTAATTAATGACGGAATTGGAGCGATTCAGGACGAGGCGTGTTCTTTTTTCAAGTTGTTCCTCTGAGTCGTGGTGTCTGTTGGGGAAACTGATTATTTAGAGCGGTTGGTACGATTACATTAACCCTTTCAGACCGAGCGTCCACAATTCAGGACACGAAATCTAATAAGACCAGTTTTCCTCGGAAACTACACTATTACGATTTTTTTTCTATTTTGTCCATGCTAATTTTAGTCGAAGTTAACCCTAAAAATAAAATTACGTTAGTACGAGAAAAAAAAATTCAGGTCTGATAGGATTAAGAGTATGCAAGGCGTAGTAAGTACCTAGGTCTGTTGTTCAAACTCATTAGTAGTAATAGCTCCGATCGTTAATACCAACGATGATAACCCTCGATTCGCAGAAACCCCAATATCGCCAATTTTTGGAATGTCGAAACCATTAACATCAATTTGTGAGGCATTATGAGCAATTATTGGGGTCGTTAACGTCACTAGCAATGCTCCCCACGTAATTAATATAGGTAGCCTTGGTACTCGAACCCTTAACATCGCCGACGACGACCTTTGGTAAAAAAATTTTTTTCTTTTTTCTGTTTTTCGTAAACGTTAATGAAACCGGGTTGCGTATCGTTGACATTTGGACGTGGACAGAAACTGCGCCTAAACCCAACTGGTATCATTTTGATGGAAACAGTGCGGGCTCGTCGTGTCACCGTATTTTGCATTGCAGGCATTCCAATTACGCGCTCACATATTCCAAGGTCGCTTTGATCCTGGGATGGATGCATCCGGCTTATTGGATCCGTTCGTACGTGTTGCATTTCATGGTTACACGGCTACGACCAGAGTAAGTTTCAGTTTCATGTGTCGATAATTCACCCACGTTTGCTGGCAAGTGCGCGAAGTTATGTTATTATTACTCCCGAGTCAGTTTTCGCGGAAACTCGCTACTCGTGAATAAACTCCCACGAGATGTTGTACCAACCTACTTTATCTAACGATTTATACAAATTTAGGGCGCCATTAATGGCGACTCAAACGTTTCTCCGAAAATACTCGAGTCTCTCGAAAGTTAAACTTATGGACTACCTGAAACAAATATTAGAGGAAATTCATGTTTGTTTCGAAGTGAAAATGGACGAGCTAGGCTTCCGAGTTCTAAACACAAATATCGTTGAGAAATGGTATGACAGTCTCGCGTGGTCTGGCACCGTTTCTGATTTATTCGTTTAATCGATTACTCCCAAATTCTGGATATGTTTTTTTGTTCCGTCAAGAGTATCGTAATGTAACGCATCGAATTACGTGATTCGAGAAGATTCCTTATCTTAATGCGAATGAACTATTCAAACAACACTCGTACGCTATAAATTCGCGTATCTACTGGCTGCAGGCAAACCCCTTCGGATGCACCTGAAGCCACAGATTTCTAAGGTCGCTGAATATTACTTCAGGGGATTTGAACTAATTCCTGAATATTACCAAAGTGGATTTCAACCAACCCGCATTTTCAGGTTATTAAACAGACTCTCGATCCTTTCTGGGATCAAACTCTGATCCTGCCGCCGAGAACCGTGCACGGGACGAAAGAGTACATTAAACTACACCCACCCAACGTGGTCCTGCAAGCTTTCGACCAAGACATATGCGTGAGTAACTTCTAACCTCTCATTAAGCTGCTATACAAGGAAGTAACAATGATTGAGTTGTTCATTCCATAAATCGATTAACTCCATAAAAAAAAATGTTGAGAAATGCGATGTACCTTTCATCTAACGGTATATAAAATTAATAAGAACAATAGGCAAAAAATAATCGTCAGTAATGTTACAATTGTTATGCGACTGGTGAAATAATGAAGTGACACATGAAGTGTTACTCGCCAACGAATAAAATTCGTAACATTCACCATCCTCTTAGAATGTTCAACCGCATGTACACTCTCATTTCCGTGCTCGAATTGTTCAGAGACACGTTTAATTACACCTAATGCCTAATCTCGGAGTAGTTCGTGAACCAGTTCATGTTCTAGCGCCCGCGAATCGAAATTCACAGGGCACCAAGGAGTTCTGTGGAAGATGCACAGCCATTCCATTAGTTAAACTCGCAGCGGAAACTTACTCGCCGCCTGATTTCCCTCCGAAACTTAAGTGGTACAAATTTAAATCGCAAAGGGATTGCAGCGGCTCCATACTCGCTGCATTTGAGCTCATCGAGGTGAGAGCAGGCGACATACATCGATGTCAGAGTTGGAACGGGCTATAGGCTCTCGTACATCTTACGTCGCTATTTTTGTGGATTCACTTTTGAGTATATCTCTTGTTTTCCACGCGTTGCTTAGGTTGAAGACGACGAAACAGTCGACAGGACTATTAGTTCTTCGTTGCTGGACGTGGTATACAACATACCGGAGGACATCAGGCCGAAAATGGCGAGTTACAGGCTCGAAGTTATATTTTGGGGTGTGCGGGACATGAAGAAGATAAATTACTTGCCTGTGCTTAAACCTCGAATTATAATAGAGTGCGCGGGCGTCGATGTCAAGTCGGAGGTAATGGAGAACGCCAAGAAATTTGGCAACTTCGTGGAACCGCACATCCTCGTCGACTTGGTAACGATCGACGCGTCTAAAATCAATCTATTTTATTGCCACTATTCTCTTACTATCGACGCTACACTTGAGTATTTTGCTACAGTCTATAAATTTCCCTAAGGATATGCCGGAGCTGAGTATTTACTACCCCTCTGTAACAATAAAAGCTTACGATTCGCGGGGATTTGGCTGCTTCAAGTACGCGGGGATTTGCATCATACCGAGCGTTTACGTCTTTCTAGAGCAGCTAATAACCGAGGAGGATTACGATGCGCGGATACACGAGACGAAATCGATTTTGAAACCGTCCTGGACGAAGAAACAATCCACCACCATTTGTGAGTTTACAATCGGGGCGAGTAATTCTTTACGAGAATCTCGGGGTGTAAATATATATTTCAATTTTTTCAAACAACATATTTTAAGTAAAAATATTAGACGTTGTTTACTGCATAGAATCTAGTCGTATCTCGTTTAATACTCATCGTCGGTATGAGCTTGACAAAATTAATGATAATATTAAGCTTGATTTAATTAAATTATCGTGTTGTTTAAATGGTAACATGTAAACGCATATTTGTGCATACCCACGCGTTTTCCTGCATCACGGGCAGCTATTAAATATTTGATCTCGGTCGTTCAACGGCACATAGCACGTGGGGTTGAAACTTTCTCTCTAACAGTTAATAACGCCATGGAAAATCCTATTCCAGTCTGCACGCAACAGAAAACTTTGTTAATTAAAATTCTCGAGAACACATATCCGCTTTCGTTACGAATAATCGTTTTTCGCCCCCTTCGTGGAACGTCTAAAAACATTACCCATTTTTGTTCAGAACTAACCCGCGGATCGAAATAAACTCGCGTTGGATTAGTAATGAGCTGTTCGTTGAACCCGGTTTAAACTCTGCCAATAAATACCTCAAATGAGTTTTACCTCTGTAATCATTTATATCACTAACGCCATGCGAGACTAAAACATTTGAGCTATAATAATGTGTAAACACTTTTTGACCTGACTGTATGCTCGTCCCACCGTATCGAAAGATTCCCGTACCAAAAATACGAAATTCCCTTCTTACTCGCTGCAAATCTTCTTTGAAAGTGTCCCTGCCGATCGACTACGACCCGTCGATGGACGAGAATAGAGAATTGATCCCCTACAAGAAGATGGCCGGGAAAGATTTGTCCTCGAGGCTTCGGAAAATCCTGCTGTCCGTAAAGAAGCTATTCGCACGTTTCCTGGGTAGGAAGAAAAGGCGAACGAGAATGGAGGTTCGAGGCGGGAACGAAGACGAGTCGCTGGATTGGTGGAGTAAATATTTCGCTTCCCTGGAGGTAGGCGAAAGAGACGAGAGGGGATCGGTCACGCGAGTGATCCGATATATGTAAAGTGACACGGGTCCCGCGGTAAATGTTGACGTTTCCAGGAGGAGAGAAGCAGGCAGCTCGGGAGCGAAACTCTCCAAGGTCGCAAGCTCGTCGCGACGTTCAAGGTACTCCGCTTTAGAGCATTTTCACCAGCTCAGCTGTCTCATTGGGCGGAAAACAGGTATACGACGGGGAATTGGAGTTGCAGCCGCAGTTCGCTGGATTTCAGGATCGACTCAGAACGTTCGAGCTCTGGAAGGGACGCAAGGCCGAGAATCCTGATTACGACAGCGAAAATTACGTTGGGAAGTTCAAGGTTTTACCTCGAGTTATCTCTCATTCTTATTATTCTCACTTGTTTTATTCTCAGTTATCAACTCTCTCGAACTTAACGTACGAAGACGATACCTTCGCGAAGAAGGGACGACGATTGATTTGTCTCTCAGATACTAATTCCCCGCTCGCCTGCCATTTCCCATTTCTCTTGTCTGTAGTTTTTCCTGGGTAGCACCGAACCACTACTTCGAGTTACTCGTAGAAACGATAGTTCGCGGTCGTAGTAGCCTGTTCAACCTTTCTGCTTAAAGTGCTTACGGTGCTAAAGTGCTTAAAGTGCCTTTGACTCTAGGTGTTAAGCTCTTCTCGGTATTATATATAGAATCGCCGAGTCGTTAGTTTCGAGTCATGAAAAATGAAAATTCCTCGTAGGGACGCATCTGCGTGTATCGTTGGCCACACCCGGACAATCTGCCATGCAAAACGAGAAGCGGTCGACCCGCTGTTAATGGTTTGTGCGACGATTATCCGTCTTCGGAGCCTGTCAGACTTCTCGTCCGGCTATACGTCGTTAACGGTAAGCTCCATCGACGCGGGTGCAAGACAAACCGACAGGAGCGAATCGATTTTTTCCACAGGCATCAATTTGCAGCCTAAAGACCCTCTCAGCGGAAAGTCCGACCCTTATTTGTGCATCAAACTTGGAAAAACGTACGTCAACGACAGGAAGAATTATATACCTAACCAGCTGAATCCCATGTTTGGACGGTACGTAAACATCGTTCTCTCCACGATAACTTTTCTCTACGAAATGATATTGGAAATAAAATTTTTCAAGGCTCTTCGAGATAGAAGCTACCTTTCCCCAGGATCACACGCTGATCGCCCAAGTATGGGACTACGATGCCACTTCTAGCGACGATCTGATAGGGGAAACTAAAATCGACCTGGAGAATCGATTCTACAGTGGACACCGTGCCACATGCGGCATTTCGAGGACGTACAATGCCGAGGGTTACAATTACTGGAGAGATCGCGAGAAACCGACACTGATACTCGACAACCTGTGCAAGCGAAACAATCTACCTTCGCCGGACTATAGAGAGGATCACGTGAAAATAGGACGAAAGAGATTTCGTTACGTCGATGTCTATCTGAAAGACGAGGCTGGTCTGTTTCGCGAATTAAGGGTGCAGTTTGGTCATTTAGCAAGATTGAAATATCAGATTTTCATTCGATTATTTCGCTATGGAACGGAAAATGACAAGGAAGCCTCAATTTTTCAGCTGAAAGACCAGGCTACTCCCTTAATCGTTCGAAGATAAGCTAAAGGGGAATCCCATCGTCCGAACGAAATCCATTTTATCAGTGATGGATGATTTCTATTCAGACAGGGAAGAATGCATGGCATTGAACGTGCTTCATCAGTGGCAAGACTTTCCTATTTGCGGGTGCGCCCTGGTGCCCGAACACGTTGAAAGAAGACCGCTTTTTAACGCTGCGAAGCCTGGTCTGGAGCAGGTTATAAAAAAGAATGATTTTGTTCATTTGGTGAATGCGGAATACGTGAATAGGGGGATAAGGCTTTTGTTGCTATCGAGGGTACGAAAGGTTTCATTTGCGAATGGATTCGATTGGTTCCAATGCGAGATTTAGCCGAAGGGTCAAATGTTGAGCTCGTGGATATATCACGGCTGTTGACGGAGCAAGGGCAGTTTATCATTTTTTTTCCTCGTAAATTCTGCTCGCCACGCTGGAATCGCCCCCATTTAATTCCCGCGGAGTGACGAGCGGTTTCTTCGAGGCGTGAATTTTTGAATGCTGACCAGCGATATGAGACCGATACAAGAGGGGTGGATCGGAAAGTAATCTCTTGTTTGCTTTGCGCAGGATGTAATAGTCTACACGTCACGTGCCAAGCTAATCTCACGTGGCTGGTACAAGAGATAGAATTTTCCACGCGATGGAAATATTAAGTAGAACTTTCTTCTGATCGAAAATTTTACGATTCGAACTTTCAGAATTATTATCATTACTTGTCGTAGAATGTGCGTCGAAATGCAGAGTTTTCGCGACTGAACGCTATTTCTGTCTACGCGAGAACAATTGATTTATCAGAAAAGCGATGCCATGAACCCGGTTCACGAATCGAACGCTCTTGCAGCTACCAAAATATTCACTAGCCTGTTCTGGAAACACGATATGCATCCCCGATCGATGTTTCAGGGTAAACTGGAACTTTGGGTCGATATGTTTCAATTCGACGAGCTACCTCCGAAACCGGCGGTAGACATCAGTCCGCCAGTGCCAGAGGAATATGAAATTCGCGTGATCGTTTGGAATACCGAAGATGTGCCACTCGTCGATAGCCAATTCCTTACCGGAGAGAAATGCTCAGACATTTACGTGAAAGGGTATGTCCGAAAATGGCTTCGTCGAGGACTCGTGGGCCTCTGAAGCTAGAGTTTCATCTGGAACACGGTTCAGCGAAAGGCATTCGTTGATTTGTTAGAAATTAAAAAAAAAAAAAAAATGTAACTGTATATTTTTCGTTATACGCGAGGATCGATTCCAGCTGGATTTTATACGACGATTACCAGAAGACCGACGTTCATTACAATTCCCTGAACGGGGAGGGTAACTTCAACTGGCGATTCGTATTCCGCGTCACGTACTCGAAGGGCGAGCGCGTTATGATCGTTCGCAGAAAGGTATCCGTCTTCGCCAGAAGCGAAATCGAGGACAAACTGCCCTGCAAATTACATCTGCAAGTTTGGGATAGTGATCATTTCTCTCCTGACGATTTCCTCGGTAAACGCGAACTACTCTAATAGAGGTGTTAATTACAAATCGTTAATGGATACAACTGCGCCTGGGGAATAGATTAATCGAGTGGTTTCAGGAGCTCTGACGTTGGATCTATCCAGGATGCCGCGTGGGAGCGGAAATTCGAAGAACTGCACTATGAAAATCCTCGATCCTAATGCACCGACGACAGATCTTTTCAAAGTAATGCGAATTAAAGCATGGTGGCCCTTCCAGCAAAGCATTGGAACGTCGCGCTACGTTCAGGCAGTGCGTACACGTAACTTCACAACATTCGTTAACGTTACAAATGTATCAAATTATATCGGAGATTCACGTTCAAATTCAGGGGAAAATCGAACTAGAAATGGCGGTATTGACTGCAGAAGAAGCGGACGAACACCCCGCGGGCAAGGGAAGGAACCCTCCTCAAGATCTTCCTCCACCAAAGTACGAAGGAACGTAATCAGATTAACGAACGCGATCAATATTTTCTGAAGACAATAATTATCCGCGCGTAACAATATTTTCGTAAACAGTCATCATTACTACATAATGATTATCGACTTCGTTGAAGCGCATTATCACTAAAAGGATTAAACCGTCACCGAATTAAAGCCACGGGTAATTTTAACACATTCGCGACCACTGAAACGTAAATGTACTAGAAACGTAAAACATTTGCCGGTCGCGAATGTGTTAATCAACTGAATAATTAACGCGTATCGAACATGTCGGAGAACGACTAGACAGCAAACACGAATGTAAACGTTGTCTTATCGCGGTGGTATATTCGCACCGTCGATAGGTAGCGTATCTGTCGACTAATGTTGTTGACTATCCAGCTGTAATTAAACCAAATCTCCCGTTAGTCACCATTCGAGCACCATTAGACGATTGAACGTGCATCTGTAACCTCAACACGTTGAATCCTTATTCGTAAACGCCATTGAATCTATTGGCGATTATATTTTGTGACGATTCAGGTAAATGCTCTATTTCGTCATTTACAGCCGACCGGATACTTCATTCTCCTGGTTTCGAAATCCTTGGAAGGCGTGTCGATTCGTGGTCTGTCGCTACTACAAATGGAGGATAATATGCTTCTTCGTTTGCCTGCTGTTCGTGTTGCTTTGCGCATGTGGAATATACGCTTTCCCTGGCTACATGGTCAAGCGTCTTCTAGGAGCCTAAGATAGAAGCCCGAGAAATCGCGAGGACCGAAATCGTCGCAGTTGGCCGTTAATTAGAAATTGGGTCGCTCGACGGATCAATTATCGATTCAGGTCCACTTCAGGGAAACTCCCACGCTATTTGGGCGCCGTTAATTGTAGGACAACACAATGGAGTCACCTGGCTAACGATCGTTTTACCAATTAACGGCCGGTGCTTATTGTAAATCTATATTGATGGTCCACGGTGCTTATCACAGCTCTGAACCACCGATGTCCGACATTCCTATCGAGATGAATGCTCGAAGACGAACTATCGAGTACCACCTAGGTTTCCCTCGTAATTTATTTAATTAAATATTCGTTGTAACCTTTAACATACTCGTAGATCTCTCGCGGTACACGTTAAACGAAGATGATAAATGAATGCACCTCGAGATTCGCCCCATGAGTTTTCATCGCGCTTTCGCGGGACCTTCCACAAGGATCCGCTTCATCGTCCCACTTTTCGTATCGCGTCGAGCACGCTTTAAAGCCTTTCAGCAAATATAAAATCTGTGTCCGGCTGTTCGCGAGTTAATCAGATTATAACAAAGTTCACGCTTGCAGCGCGATGACGTGCATTTACCGTTCGCGTGATCCTAGTTATTCCGAGGAGAAAATTCTTTTGCAAAGGCGGAGGATAATTATCTAGGCGAGAACGGAATGTGTCACGAACAGGTGAAAAGAATCTCGATAGTCTGTTATTCGGTAGAATATTATAACCTTCAATTCTGATAGTATTGTATGAGCCGTTCGTTACACGAATCGATTAACTCCGTGAAAGAAAAAGTTGAAAAATGCGATGAAATATAAAAGTTATGGCTGTACCGAGTGCTTTGAGACTTAAATTTGTGATTTTTCGAAAAGTGGAGTCAACACAGGTCAACCCAATGCGTCCTAATTCACTAGGTTCGATCGACCTTCGTCGTTCCTCTAGAAAAACTCGAAGGGAATGGGTCATCGAGTAGAGATGCATCGGAAGGAAAGATGGAGTTTCTTCGTGATTCGAGGTACTTTTCAGGATCGTGAGCGCGATACAAAACGCAGGTGCACGCCGCGGTTCTATTCCCAGCGGTCGACCAGGTGGAAAACAGGCGACGTGACGTAACGAGAAGATCAATAACTCAAGCGTTTTATTCGAAAGTTTATTGAACTTTCCTTGATGCCGGCTCGGTTGTTTCGTGACTCGGTTCGCGTTAACGATTCGTCTTTACGACATCGGCGACCAACGCGTCGGATTTCTTTCGTATCTTCCCAACCTTCCGCTGGTCTGCCCACGCCGCGATAAACCTCTTTACGGCTGAACTCGAGGGGACAGTTCTAAGTAATCTAATCTTCCTCTCTGGCGGATAGCGACGACTCAGACCGCAGCTCGCGATTCCCCGTCGAGACGAGGAGCCGCGCAAAAAGCTAAATCCTGAAGCATTTGCGGATTAATTTTGAAACAAAGCCCCTGCCACGAGGTCATCTTGCGGCGAGGGTAGTTTCAATATCGTGCGGTGTAATTGGAAATATGGTGTAAGGGGAAATTTAATCACGGCGCGAGTTTATGAGAATTTAGATTAAAATAAGTCACCGACCAAGTTGAAATCGATCGTGCAGGGCGAGTGAGTCACGAGCGAGCATGGTTGACAATAGCAGGGAACTTGTCGAGGACGAAGTTAAATTGATTAATAGCATTTAATTGAATAAATTGTACGAGCACCGCTGCCTTGGGTATACGTCGGTATATACGATTTTATTCTAGACCCTGAAAGAATCAAGGATTCTTTAATCATGCAAAAAACGTTATTCGAGCTCCGTTTATAGACGTGTTTAATCAAAAAATGAAGCCTCGAATCACCCTTGGACAAATATGCAGAGACCTGACACCTTGAAATACTCCTCCAAGGTGGCTGGGTACAAAGTTGAAATGAGTTTCTCGCTAGACGGCAGATAGCAGAAATATACAGAAAGTTTTATCGGTTTTTGTATTGAGAGAGATGGGCGCCGTACCTCTTCACGAAGTGTGTATTACGTCCTCATAGTTTCTTTTCGAGTGAAACTTTTATCACCATTACTGGACGTTATCGATGCCGCGGCCCGTGCACAGCCGGAGGAACGGGTTTGAATTCTGTTTTAAAATAGGACGACGCTGACCTGCTTCGGCGCGAAATTCTACCATTTTTGTTTGCCAATTTCCACGAATCCGTGACGTTTGATTGACACGTGTTCGAATGCTTGAAACAGACGTGCCATACGGAACGTGTAACAACATCGGCCTGCAAATGTTTACAGTGAATGAATCATTTTCTCACATAAAACCGAAGTGTAAGAGCAACGATGTATATCGTATATATCGAGATCTATGAGCTAATATTAACGAAGTTCCAAAATTACCAAAGCCCCTTTAGAAGCTGCACCATTCGGTGATATTACACCCAAACACGAGACAAAGTACTCGAAACGAATACACACACGCTCGCATCACAAACCAATGACCGTAGGTTGAACACACGCGAACCCACCCGCATAGCAGTCAGGATGCCGGATCCATAGTTCACGACCGTAAGTCGCGTTGCATGCGGTTTATCTAAAAAGCAGGTCTCCGAAACCGTTAAATCGTCTCGAAAACAGCGAGATTTCGGGCCGAATGACCGGTTCGCGGTGTTTGTCAGCTAAGTTTTCGGCGCGGGCCAACGTGAATTCAATTATTACGAGCCAGCGAGTCACGCGAATGCATATGCAACCGGGAATGCATGCACCGAATTGTGGCATTACGTCGACTAAATTCGGTCTTAATGCATCGCGTGCCCTATCTGGCCGCGTATCTCTCGATTGTGGGTCAATGACCTGCCCCGATGAAAAGTTTCCACCGGTTACGCGATAACGTTCGGAGTTTACCTGCGATTCCACTGATTGCGAGGATCTTCCATCCCTGCAACGCGCACGAGCTCGCAGTGTGATTTTACGAGGGAGTTATCACGATGCGATGGTATGTCTGAGATAGTTTGTTTAAGAAGCTTATTCCCATTCCGAGGCGTCGTTTTTGGGCGATTTTTCAGATGAAAAGATACTGGATGATTGCGCGTTTAGGACCTAATAATGTTTCAGCAACGTCTTCTGATACCTGCGCTCTTTTCTTAACAAATTACTCGTATCTCGGTTCCGTTGCAAATGTAAAAAGCAAGAAGACCGTTATCGCGATGTTAACGATGGCAAAGAGAAAAGAGCAACCGAGTCCCATCGAAAGTTGGGAATTTGTTGTTCTGGGCAGCAGTGTAATGGTCACGGAAAAATTTATTCGAAGTATGTGGAAAACAGCGAACAAATTTCTCGTCGCGTCTGAATTTTTCAGGACGCCTGGAAAATACTGCAGCTGCGTTAATGGAACGAACCAGCCACGCCAAATAGCGAAACACCGCGAGGTGATTCACCCGTTAATTTATGGCGCAGCACGAGTTCAAAGTTCAGAGATCAGTTCCTAACTCGTGTTATAAATTACAAATAAACGAAAAATTGTACCTTCCCGTTCAAGTTTCAAACTGATTTCAACGGGGCAACGGATTCTCGGAGATCTTGATGTCGAACCAATGCGGGGCACCCCGAGGTAGCGCGTTATTTTCTTCCACGTAAAAGCGAACCTGCATAGCGGCGTTGGTTCGCGTGTGAAAACCGCATGCAGCGCGAAACTATCAGACCCGTACAACACGTGGCGAACGAAACTCGGGCGTCTTCTTCGACCGCGGAATTTTGCAATGAAATGAGGCGGGAGTCGATTGTTGGCGGTTGGCCAGTTATCGGATCCCTATTACACGCCGCCCATTAATATCGCAAACGTAGACATACGTTCGTGCGCTGAAAATTTAACGCCATGAGTTCTCGGAATGTCGGCCGCGGAATAAATTTCGTTACATTATTTAATGACCATAAATCGCCCCTTCTTCTCGTGCCACTTCTCGAGCGAGTACTTTTGCGCAACGACTTTGCATTTACTTTGCCACACCTGGCGTCCACGTTGCCCGACAGGATATCTCTACGCGATCGAATATAGCAGAACTTAGCAGCACTGTTCCAGACGTTTGCTGGAGTAGGATTGGTAAATTCTAAAGAGTTGGATCATGTCATTTTTAATTTTATAGAACCAAAATTCCTCGTAGGAATTTTCACGATTATTAGTCTGGCAGTCGACGTATTGGTGTTTCAACGTCCATCGGGTCACCAGGCTACGAGTAAAAAACGCTATCACTCGATAATAGACCACAAAGGAAAACTTTAAACTGTTTAATGCCCACGCAACTTGAATCCAGCCCATCGCATCGCGTGTCCCTTTGATACGTATTTCGAATAACTAGATCACAATCTAGCTTCGCCATCATACGCGTCGGAGGATAAGTACACCCTTATCTTTCAAAGCGTAACCAACGTTAATACGTGTCATCGGCGTGTATACTTTGAGCACCGGTCGTCATGACGACGAATGGAGCGCGCCATGAACAACCGACGGCGGAGGCGAACGTGCAAACGTCTGCCCCGGTCGTTACAGCACTGCGACACAACTTCCAGGTCTCTGACATTCGAGCAAGCGACGCTTCCCTCTGTACGAAACCTGACATCCGGGTCGCGACGATGCTCTGTGTCCTGAAAAAGTTTCCGTTGCAAGACAAATTTCCAGGCACTCGCGCGCCCGCCCGTTGTCACGAAACCGGTGCCGCACGCGCAACCGAGCCTCGCAAACGAGGTCGCTTAGAAGTTTCAGGGAAGTTCCGCGAACGACACGCCGGAGTATCGTATTTCGCAATATCGACGAAGCCAGTCGCGGATTTAATGGGACTCCGTCCCTCGATGGGCGTGATTTTTTAAAAGAGAGAACGCCAGCGCGCGCGGAACCAGGGTAGTCAAATTTACAGTAGCGGAAGAACTGAAAACGGTAGCCTGAGTCTTTGCATTCCAAAGCAAGTAGTTACTTCGTGAGAATGATTTTTGATTATCCATAAATTCCGACCGTGGCAGTTGAATCTTCGAGCAGAGTTTGAATTCTCCTTCCAAGACCCTTTAGCAGTTAGTTGGGAATACAAATTCACCAATGACAAAGTTAGAGCTTTCTCTTAATTTATGCAACGCTTACGAGCCTGATGTATTCGTCCTGCATGCAGACGCTGCGGACGTTACACAAGAATCCCTTAGTTTCAAGGAAATTGGTCCATAAATTAAGTCCCTTTGGCCGTAGCGTGTAGGCTTACTATATATCAATTGCCATTAAAAGCGGAACACCTGAATTGTTCCCCGGAGAGAATCTGACATTTTCCGGTCGCATGCAAGTTATACAAAAAATACTAACTTTTTAAAGAGTTTACGATTACATTAAACGAGGTAGTTTGATCACCAAGATTTCCATGAAATTTCCTACGATTTTTCGTACGAGGTTTCCTTAGAAGTCCCTGTAAACCACGTTTTCCTCATGTATCGCCTTTCCGAAGGAAGCGTTGCAGTCCATCGGGAAATCTTCTGATATCGAGATAACCCTGTCGCGTCGTATAGAATTATTTATGCTGTAATGTTTCACGGGGATGGATTTCTGCATGCACCTTACCATGAGCAAACAGGCTTAGCGTCTCTGCTTTCTACTCTGCTTGAAGCCCTCGTGCGTGAAGATTCGTGTTTCCTCGAATCGCATGAACATTCCTGAGCTTTCGTTGAATCGGTTCTGTTTTATACAAAGACCGCGCGACAGGGTGCACTTCCCTGACAGCCAATCAGTGTCTGGCTTTTCCCGAGTCCGCGTCTGTATTCACTTTGGTGGATGCGACGTGCAATTGCTCGTTCTCGCGAACGTTTTTTTGGACGTTGGACAGGACAAACTAGACACACAATGTTTAAAATAGTAATTTGGGTAGCGTATGGTTGCAGAAATAACCTTTGCAAACGACACGTGTTTTTATGGGGACGTAAGAATGCGTGGAACTTGGAGTACTTTAATTAAATGTACTCCAATTACAGCGGTACATTCATCAGAAATTTCAACGAGTGTATTCAAACAATGCATAAGCGTGAGATTAGGTCTGGGGATATTATTACCATTTCCCGAGATTCAACTGGGATCGTCGACTATTGGCATCCGGAAAAATCAACGATTGCGAGAACGTCTTGGCGTTCGATTTCGTTTCCTCGAAAACCTTAAAGGATCACCTACACTAATGGCCTCTATCGAACGAGGCACTCTAGTTTCTTTGCAATGATAAAAGAAGCGATTCCAGCGATTTTGCATAATACGTACAAGAAACGCGTGTCGCGAGGAAACGCAAGCCGTACATAGAATAGCATCAACTGGTTCTACATACAATAATGGCCATGTACTTGTATATCAGCAGAGATGGACAGAATTCCTATCCAGATAAAAATTTCCAATACCGAATACGAGGTAGAAAAGTTTTTATTCGTTACTGGTAGTGTGAAACTAGGTTTTAAATCGTGGAATTTAACATTTCACACAACTTTCTAATCGAATAAACGTTTTTGAACGCGTACAAGTTATATTCCATGGATCATGGAATATCAACAATTGCTTGTTGTCGGACTATAGAGCATGTTAAACAACATGGAACTTCGATTGACGTTCCTTGGAAAATGCCTGGAAAATCAGTTGCTGGAATAAGAGCTGATGAAGTATACTATATTATAGTGAAAAGTGTTAAATATAAAAATCGTTTCGATATGATCACCTGTTTCATACGTGTACGTAAATATGACTCGATTCCGGAAGCCGGATCACGTTGTCACGCTGTCGAAGTCAGCGATAAGGAAAATACCAGTACAGGAAACATTGTACGAGTTTGAGTTCTCAGCGGTGAAACAGCTAATTGTCAAGCGTAATCCATAGTCCAAACATTCGACACGTTCGTCGAGGTAACAAGTAGAAACAGAGAGTTCGAGGGTTCGGAGGCGAATGGTCGCGTCGTTCACCCCTTCGCCATGTGACCCGAATGGCGCCGACTGCGAGTACGACGTCCCTGAGCGTCGAATGAGACGCACGGCGTCGCTCGAATTGCACCGAAGCCGGCCGACGAAGCACGAGGGCGTCGCGAAGGTAACCACGTTTTCTACCCTCGTTTTCAGTCTGTCGTGGTGTGTCCTGTCGGCCGGCTGACGCGCGCTACCACGCGTGCCAGCCCTTTCGCTTCTCCCTCGTTGTTCGCCACTTGTGTTTTCTATCGTGGGATTACTCGTTCGTCGTCGTTCGTCGCGTATACCGTGCGACGAGGGAGGCGGTGGCCGACTCGATGGAGATACCGGGCCAAGTGGAAAAACGTCGAGTGTTGTTGTGAGTTTCGTCCACGTACGCGTTGACGGGGGTGGTTCAAGCTTGCCGCGAAATCGAGAACCGATCGTGTTACGGATATTCGATCCCTTCGGTGCCCACGGAGACGGTGGACATGCAACAGAAACGTCGTTCGGTGGATGGATGAACGTGACTCCGAAAGTACTCTCGACTCGATGCAGAGGGACGCTGAGGTAAGTGAGAGTTCAATGTACGCAGTCGGAGCCGTTGGCACGCGAGACTTCGGCAACCCCCGGAAAAATACCGCCTGATGGAGCTCGACGAGTATTCCGTTTCAAGTAATACGTTTCGTGCCCCCTTTGTGCCACTCTTTTAACCCCCTCCGCGATAGCGGTCGCGTTTCGACCCTCGATCCCTCGAATCGCGTGGTCGCCGGCTCCCGATGTGCCATAGTTACAGTACTCCCACCCTTAAACCTCTTCGAGGTTGTGGCGGTTAAACGCTTCTTACGCGGCGGTGAAATATATTTTAAGTTTATAGCTTTTGATTTCTAAATGATACGGTTTTGCGAGCTATTTTTAGATTCGTCATGTGGTATAGAAGGGTAATTTCGTTTAAAAGTTTCTTATCGCCAGTGACATTTGCACGATATACCTAACTATATCGTAAAATGGTACCAGCTCATCATATTTCTCAATATCTTTTCTATAGTTCCGCGTGTTTACTATAGAAATTATCATGTAAAACTTTTATATTTGTAAATCTTTCGTTACGATTGACTCCGATTTGTTTGTGCTCCAAATTTTCTACCACGTGCATTAGTTAACAAAAGTAAAGAAACTATTTCTTGCTATGCGGTGGATTCATTGATAAATTTCTGCGTGAGTCACCTACCACCTGTTCAAGGTTACAAGACAACGCCTAAATTCGATTTGTTCTCTAGTTCAATTCGACGTCACATTACGTTCCACGTGCTCTACTTCCTGACGTTGTATTTTTACATTATAGATTGCAGCTCCTTGCTTATAAATAGGTGTATGTGAATTACAAAAAATCCATATATTCGTATCAATAATCGTTGTTTGTATAAACGCTATTCACATGGCGAAACCACGCAGAATAAAAGAGTGTAAATACATTGAAAAATAATAAAAGCTGGGAGAATCTAATCTGCTAGACAACGTGTTTCACATGTCCGATCTAGTCTCTTTAGAACACGTTGGCACACGTGCACGCTATTTCATAATGATCGATTGGTGCTGAATTGCTGTTTGTTACACTCGTCGTTTAAATACCGCTACACCGCGGCGCATATAACGGTTGCATGGAAATGAAAATTTCACGATGCATATCCTTTCTTCGTTTGTTCGTCACATGATACGCCCGGTTTAGTAAGTATTTTCGCGAGGGGAATTACCGGACCGTGCCCTTTGACACTTTCGCGTTCCACTTGTAACATTTTCCGTTTAATTTCGCACAGGACAATAAGAGACAATTAGTGGAAATGAAATACCGTATCTGCTACGGTAATCTGTTTCGTAGAAAGTATAGAGCGAGATAAAATTGTTACTCGAATCGATACGTTCCGACGAACTGAGGAATTATACGGTGTGCTGGGTGAAAATTATTCAACGGAGGGGAATTATTCAGAATTTTCGATGAGTTTTGTAGATCGAACGGTAAACGAAAATATTTTATTCCGTTGTCATTAATATTGGCTCGGATTGATTTATTACTTTTTCAATGGGAGCCACGTATTTCGTTATAATGAATGTCACGCGAGAGGCTCAAAATGTTCGAAAATTTGTCGATCCGGTGATAACAAAGCTACTATTTTCACGGTACTATTAATCGTCGCTAAAAGAAGGCTATCAATTTGCGTATAATGAATGGAAATAGTTCGTACGTACATTCAAATTGTCTCAATTACTCTAACAGTTATTGTCCGAGTGATTTCCAATTACGCTGCTCGTTAACGATAACAAATTTACCAATTCAAACGGAACTAAAGCTTAATCGTTATACGTTGTTTGTACGTAAATGATAGTTTCAGTCCGTATTATTCACCCTCGAGATCATCTTCTCTGTACAATTATGACTCGAAAAACAGAAATTAATCGTTGGATCGTCGGATGTTTCTTGTCTTGGGAGACAATTAAGGCACGCTGAGTTGCAGCAATTTATCGCTGTTGATTTTAGGGTTAACGTATTCAAAGTGTTGTTGGAAAAAGGGGATGAAATTTATTAACGGGAGCCACGAATAGATAAGGTCCGCGTTAGGTATGCAACGGGACTTGGTGTGTCTTTCTTCGCAACGGCAAGCGGTGAAAAGAGTGCAAATAGGCCTGGAAGCACGTAATTTATCTCGTCGCGTTCGCGCGACGATAAGGGGAAAGAGAAGAGTGAGAAACCGCGACAAAATAAGGGATTAGTCAGCGCTTCGTTTAACGGGGTAAATAGAGCGTCGGAATTTCGCTGCTGAAACTTTTTGCCCTATCCAATTTTCTGCGAAGCGGGGGCCCTTGATAATTGTCTCCCGCTGTTCCTCGGAAACGGAAACGTTCATGGATACCCCGCGAAGGGCTTACTTTGCAAAGGGCTACCGTTAATTAAAAGTCAGACATGATATAACGGAATGAAATTTATTCCTAGATTAAACGTAATTACTGTTTCTTTGCTCTCGCAATAATCCATAATGTTAATACGGTGAAACGTTTTAGTTCGTTATTTTTCGCGAGCAAGCAAATTTTTGGTATCTACATTCGGATCATCGTGAAGACACGCGAGGATTATCTAAAATTAAATAGAATAACGATTTAGAATGTAATTTATAACCTGTATAGATAAACGTCAGCTTTTAAATAGAACGAAATTGGTACTGGACGAGTTAAGCTTTAATTGCTCATACCCAGGTAACGAAGCATCAGATTACAGAATGGTAAACGAGTATTCGATTCTTTTTATCGCGGGGAATTTTTTTACCTGCCCCACTTGAATGTTCAGCAGTTGGAATGTACTGCCGTTAAACGGATACGAACAGAAGGATGTAAAACGGTATTAAGGGCGAATTACGATAAGACAGCACTGATAGATTAGTCGGTTTGGAATCGGTTCAGCGTTGAGCGGTGGAAAAGGGTGCCGCATAATGAAACGCGAAGCGTAACTTTCACGCGACGTATCGGAGGGTGGAGTAGATTTATTGATAAGTAAAACGAATGAACTTTTTATTCGTCGGATTACGGGCCCTCGATGGAAGACGCGATAGCGATAAAGCAAATGGAATATATTTTTCAGAGGAACGATTCCGAGGAAGAAACAGTGGGCGCCTCGAGTGAATTTATCGTCGAAACGATAGCTATCTGTGGTTGAGGGTGGAGGAGAGGAGCGAATTGTCAAATTTCGAAACGAGGAGCGAATCGTTGAACTTTTAATCGCAACAGGGAGACAAGGGCCGTGCGATAATCTCGAGTTGAGGGATAATTGGGGTAGATTCGAGAGTAAAACGAACTTCGAGCGACTTTAACTCTTGCAAAATGGAAATTAGCTTCGCCTTCGTGGAAAATTCGAAACCTCAACTTGGAAAGAAATTTTTAAAGTAAAAGTGTTTTCCAAGGGGTCTGGCGAAACAGACTTAATTAAGCAACGGTAGCATCCGCCTCGTGGATGGTTAATGAAGTTGTTTCATCGAGAAATTTTCACGTTCCTATTTGTTCGAGCGAAGAACCTTCGACCCTTTGTTGCTCGCCTCGTTCATTCTGCTTCCCTTTATGTCGTTTCATTTTCTCCTTGCAAGTATCGTCTAAGCACGGATCAAACTTCTATGGTTTCTTTGTAGTTTTCTGCCGTGTTTTCTGTTCGTTGTGCAATGAGAAACGGGAAGAAACTTGTATAGAGAAGATGTATTGCAATATATAGTATATATAGGTGAACATTTTGAATAGGAGGCGGGAAATGAACTCGTTGGCAATTTTTCTCTGTTTCGATTTCGAGATCATTCATTTTGAAAATTCATCAGGCACACGTGCAATTGAGGTACGACTTGGCTGACGTATCCGTTCATTATTCATTCTTCTGTTGGAGTTTGTAAATATTGATCAGAGTTAACCGTAATCCGGAACAAAGGAACGTTTCAAATATATTTGCAACAATTTTTCGTTTCGTTTTTTTCCAGCAGCTAGTAATACTTTGTGCGAGTCACCCTGTAAATTTATAGGTTTCACCGCGACGAGGCTCGTATCGAAACAATGAATGCACGAGCGCTCTGGATAAGAAACTTTTCAATTTGAAATTTAAATATTCCATTTAAGAGAAACGGAATACCGTACGTGTATCGCATTGGTAGAGCTCGGCAACGTTTTCCGTTGGTTTCTGCTCGCTCTATTTTCTCAACGAAGTGTCATCGTTGTTCATCAATCTTTCGCGGGATTATTTTTTTTACGGCGGTACATTGCGAGGTTTCAAAATTGAGTCGAAGCGTTCTATAAACACACTTCCCTGTTTTTATGTTTCTGGAGCGATCACGAGCGAAACGATGATGATGTTAGCGCGTGCTCTTCGTCCGCTGATGGCTGTGTTTACTTTTGGAAAAGAAACGAAAACACATTGTAACTGGTGCCGCGATAGTCGCAATCTGGTAGCAGTATGCCATGCCTCGCGCTGTATTCCCAGCCGTTGAAATAAAACGGTAATGAAAGGATGAAAGGATGAAAGTTCATTGATCGTTTTGCTCGCGATCAGAATATTGCGTAAACTTTATTAAATGTAATAATTCTGGTGTGCTTTGAACGACACATTTCGTAGCAAGTAAAATATATTTCTATTAGAATGATAAACGACATGCGTAATTTTAATTTTAAACAAGAACATAGATTAAATTCTGAATTACGATATTCAGAAATATTTGAAAAATTCTACCTGAAAATTTATGGTTTTACAAACTGGTGGAGCAAAGAAGTATAGCGGGTTCATGCCCCCTGCCTCGTGTATTTAGGAAACGATGTAACAATTTGTCATCTGTAACGATCTTGAGAGGTTTACGCAGTGTTTTTCATGCAACGCATGGACGTGAATTTATTGGTTTCGAATCCGATGATGGATGACGAGCTCGCGTGTAGAGACTGCGACCTGCCCCTATCCTGCGATTCTTACGCGAAAACGATTCGGTGGAGCGTTAACGAAGACAAAATTGTTCCGCAAATCATGCTCGCGTTTAAGTTAAACCGTCGCCACCCAC